CGAGAAAGGGAGTCCCACTGCCTTTGCCCCTTACCACCGAGAAAGGGAGTCCCACTGCCTTTGCCCCTTACCACCGAGAAAGGGAGTCCCACCGTCTTTGCCCCTTACCACTGAGAAAGGGTCCCCCATGCCCCGTGCTTGTTTGTCAGGATATTGAGGATCTTCTGCTTCAGCTGATTGGCCGTCACATGGTCCCGGTGCTTGGCGGCGCTGATCAGGTGATCGCACATCTTCTCCTCCTCCTTCCTGTCCGCTGCATACTGGGCGCAGTTGGACTGGTGGACGGTTCATTGAAGAGACAGAGAGAGGCGAGACAGAGATGTGAGGTCTCAAGCTTATCATACCAAAGGCTGATCCACACAACCTTTCACACGCTCTTTAAGATGGACCCGTAGGAAAAACTATTACCAGATGATTCAATGGACAGCTACAATTTTCAGGGAAAAAAAAACAGCAGATCATTATTTGTAGTCTAGGGTAAATGTTGAAAGGACTTTATTATATAATGATGTTAGAATGATCTTAACAAGACAATACATGGACCCTAGGTCATGATGTTAGAAAGTGCGATATCATACCCATTGACTTAATCACAGAAGACCATGGAAAGATGGTCTCTCCTTACTTAGGACAGCATCCCCACATGCACTGGCGTGTGATGTACCCATGATGCAAAGGGGGCGGGTGGGGCAAGTTGTGAACAGCAGCCCCATGACGGCACGTATCCAAGCTGTCAAGGTTAATGGACCCAACAGGAAGCAGAAACGGGCACCCTGGGACAGGAGGGCAGGCGATCAACTGCTCACCACTGAAGTCATTTATTTGTCCCCACAGAAAGGGAACGGGAGGGGGCACTAATTGTCTGTTATTAGACCAGCTCATTAAGTACCATGTGGTTAATGACACCCATTCATCACAATATGTGTGCACTGGACAGTGCTAATTTATTAGTGATGCAGCGCACCGTATGTGACCGATGCGTGAAAATGCCGTGGGGGCCATTTCCGCTCCACGATAAAAAAGAGGGACAGAGGAAGGGTGTTCTCCAGGCGTGAGACCAGGCTCAGCCTGAAGGGCACAGCAGTATCTGCACAGGAGGCCGGCCTACTGCCCCTATGAGCCGGCAGCACTGATCTGGAACGGCACAGCGGAAACACAATAATAAAGAGAAACGTCCCCCAATGGCCCTGCATGATGGAGAAGACGGGGTGGGCGGCTCAGCTAATATCCCAAAATCTAATTTGCTAACAGAAGCAGAGAGCTGATTGAATTTCCTGCTTTTATATTCGAATCCTGTCAGATATTGTACCTCAGCGCTACATCCAAAAGACACATAACTCAATCTGGCTGCTTGTCATCTCCGCTTAATGTGTGCCAAGCTGACGGGACAGTGGTGTGTTATTCATCAGTGTGCAGGAAGAAATGGGGAGGGGGGTGTAAACAGGTTGCGAGATACAGTATCCACTGGACGTCCCGTGCCAGAGTCTGGTAACAAGGAGACAACGGTTGCCAGGTGAGAGCAGTCGGTTGGCTTCAGTTCCATGCACAGATACTTCAAGGGGGGCAGTTGTTCAAATGTAGGGGCGTGAATTAAAGTACAAATATGGGGGCGTGGCTTAAAGTGCAAATGTGGGTGTGTGGCTTAGGGTGCAAATGTGGAGGCATGGCTTAGGGTGCAAATGTGGAGGTGGAATAGAATCTTGCGGGTGTGGATGGAAGCGGGACAGAATCTTGCGGGTGTGGATGGAAGCGGGACAGAATCTTGCGGGTGTGGATGGAAGCGGGACAGAATCTTGCGGGTGTGGGACAGATTCTTGCGGGAGTGGGACAGATTCTTGCAGGAGTGGGACAGATTCTTGCAGGAGTGGGACAGATTCTTGCGGGAGTGGGACAGAATCTTGCAGGTGTGGGACAGATTCTTGCGGGAGTGGGCAGAAGCGGGACAGATTCTTGCATGTGTGGGCGGGAGTAGGACAGAATCATGTGGGTCTGGGACAGAATCTTGCAGGTGTGGGCAGAAGTGGGACAGATTCTTGCGGGTGTGGGACAGATTCTAATGGGTGTGGGACAGATTCTTACAGGTGTGGGCAGAAGCGGGACAGATTCTTGCGGGTGTGGGCAGCAGTGGGATTATAAATTCTATCTTGCATAGACCTCTAGGTCTAAGAACTACTCAGTTTCCTCTCATGATGTCTGTTCAATTGATTGATTAAAGTCCGAGGTTAAAAAAGGAAGAGAAACCCCAAGACCGACAGAGCAAGTGGCTCCACCTGCTGTATGACAGTGACACTGAGATCCTCACTGAGATGTTTTGTACTTGATCTTTGCATAACTTACTTCCTTATCTGGAAAAGAAAAGCTTGAATACCACCACTGCCAAACTGTGTATACTAGAGCATAATTTACTGCAAAGTAATGAGCGGGGCTATTATCCCCCCCCCCCTCCCCAGTACAGGGCACAAGAGGGCAGCGTTAACAATGCCTAGTGAGTGTGTTTCTGATGGAGACTCTCCCTTCTCAGTTCTCCTCTGTTTGCTGGAATGGTTGAGCGCATGGAGACACAGGGAATTCGGAAAGATGGACAGGACACTCCCGCAAAACGTTCGGCGGTTGGGCTGTTAAAAGCAGAGCGTGCAAATGTTAGCGGTGTAAACAAACACAGAGAGGCCTTCTCTGGGAATGGCATGTGGCTGCGTAAACCTAACATATTACCGTGGGGGGGGGGGTTTACGGGCTTGTAAATTCAGGCAAGCCTGGTGTAACACCCATTAAACACAGACATAAATCCTGGCCTGTGAGTGCTGGCCAGTCTGGAGGGAGGGGCCACAGGGCCTGCGGATTTTCATAGAATGCCAACGAACCAGACGATACCCTGACAGGTTGATCTCTTACAAACTCCACCCCGCCACCCCCCACCTCAAACACAAGGCCCTTCTATGCTACCTCAAACTCGGCGTGCTTGTGGACGTCCTCGGCTCGTTGCCGATTGAGGATGAACTCGGCCTCATTGGCCACGCGCACAATGTGGTCCTTCATGGCGTGGCACAGCAGGCTGTGGGCACAAAGGGATGGGAGAAGGGCACACAGTCACACTATCCTGCCCCCTTCAGATGCAATACCGCCCAGCGTGTATCTACATTGTCAGCTGCCCATGAGGACAGCTTCCCGAGGGCCGTCTGTGTGCTGGTTTTCATTACAACCAATTTCCCCAGCTTAATTGGCCCAGTTATTAGTTATTTATAACTCCAACCCCCCAAAAAAATGGCAAACCCCCCTCCCCTCCCCCCCACACTCTCCTCATTGCCCCAGGGATCAGAATCCCACTCGCTTTTCACACCCAAACCCATCGCGTCAGCCCGCCATGAGTCAGGAGAGGTTCCAGACAGACGTCAGGTGGCTGAAGCAGCGATTTTCTGGTCTCCTGATTTTATCATCCAGAGCTAAACCAGCAAGAGGACAGATGCAGGGATGCTAAGGCTTTGTTTGGGGGGGGGGGGGTAAGCATAGCTCAAGAACATCTGAGCCTGGTCAGGTAAAATCAGCCCAACAGAATCTGCAGTAAAAAAAAAAAAAAGATTTTTCTCTAATCAGCTCGCCACTAAATGAGCGTAATGCAGCCAACCCAGTCACCTGTCCCATTAATTCATTTGTGCCATGTAACTAAAGCAGATACGAACCCAGGCAAGAAGGCACACCTTAAGGGCTTCCTCTGCCACAGTGTACCACCCAAGAGCCTGCCAAGTGGGGGCAGACTCTTGAAAGGGGGGTGGCAAGGAGCAGCTTGAAGAGGCCCATGAGGATAGGGGGAGGGCAACAGATACAAGCGGGTTAGGATGGACGTACTGTCCTTCAAACCAGCACTCTACTGAGGATGACCCCAGTCAGGTTGCTTAGTGGGGGTGTGCAATAACAGATGGGGAGGCAGATGGGGGTCTAAATTGGCCCAGCCCAGATCAGCACACAATCCAGGGGTATGAAAGGCAGGGGTGGGTCACTGAAACTAAATTAAACAACTTGCCTAATAAATAATTGGGGTTGGTTAAACTGGGGAAACGTTGGACTATCAGACACAAGTACAAGTGTCTGCATCAATCACTGGGCAGTCTTTGGGAGGCCAAGCGACTGACTACGGAACAAGCCAGCACATTTTTAATTAGTCACTGCTTTCAATTTCTCTTTTGGAAGAAATTCTTAGCGGTCAAAAAAAAGTTACGATTATGCGTGTTAAAGAAGTGTAAACACTCTAAATCAGGAAGACATGAAAGGGGTGCCAGGGGAGAGAATTTATCGCATTTTTCATGAGTGGATAAGAGAGAGTGCCTAATTACCGCCCCTCGTTGATGAGCTCAATGAAGGCCAGGCCTGCATTCTTCTGGATGGAATTCTGCCACTCCTGAAAGACATGAAACAAATCAGTCAGCAAAAAACAAAATTATAACCCTGTACAGCTTTCACAGTGCAAGACCAAAGAACACAGACCAGTTAAACAGCAGGAACTGCAAGAACACAAGAGTAATCACTCATTGACAGCATTCAAAATTTCCATTCATCTTCCATGTCTGCGGTAGCACAATGAAAAATCCACAGCTGCCTCAAACTAAGGAAATCCGGTGCCGAGAAGAGAATGAAAGTGGCAGTAACACAGAATCACAGCCAGGTACATAACTGCTCGTCTAAAAAAAAAAAAGAAAAAGATGTTAGTGTGGAATAAGGGCATATAACCATGTCAGGAATTGGTGTTCTTTCTAGAAGCTGCCGGTTCCTCCTGCTCCCCACACTGCCAGGAAGAACCACGGCTCTCCTGTTCCCCGTCTGGAAGCAATGAAAAGCCAGTGGGTCTGGCCCTGTTATTGGGGCCCCCAGGGTCTAAATTTCACTGCCCTCCTACAGAAGTGAGGGTGGTGGTGTTTCGAGGCCCCATAGGAGGACAGGCGCATGAGGAGATGCACAGAGACAGCAGGTCTCACAGTTCCCTGACATCTTCATCCTCCCCAAGCAGGGAGCCCCCTGCAGGACAGTGCGGGCAGCGTTTTTGAATGACACAACATGAAAGAGGCAAAACACCCAAAAGTGGAGACCTTACAACTCAGACCTTACAACCATTCTCAGCCACAGTGTGCATTTCATACAGCTGAAAAAGCCAGTTCTTTTGTACCACAACAGTATCAAAAATGTACTATACGGTATTTGTGCAAAAAACAAACAAAAAAAAATGTTTGAATAACCTTAATGTTGGTGTAAAACTATGACATTATGCCTGTGAAAGTGTATCAACTTAGCCATTTCAAAATCTCTCCTAAAGTCACCCCAGTATTTGCAGCAGCTATTAAATACATGCATGTGATTTTTGACTTAACCACTCCCCCTGCCTCATTTGGCTAATCAATACCTCATTGTGTTATTTTTTTTAACTAAGTTAATTAATTAAGCTAGTGCAGAAATTTAACAATTACATGGAATGACTGAGGTACCCCTGAAAAGAGGTTCGAGAACCAAAGCGGTGTTCATCTAGCCATCTGGCTAGATATCACTAACATTTTGGCAAAGAGAAGAAATTCTTGTTTATTTTTTTATTGTGTTCCAATGTCAATTATGCATTTTTTTCCTCTGAGCAAATACACACTTACTACCTAGATAAATAGCCTTAAACATTTTCTTTGACAGCCTAAGACGTTTACACAGTACTGCATTCACCACCGTTGCGGTTTCCTCAAGAACCAAATAAAGGCTGAGCAGCGACTTTGAGGAGAAAATCACCAGAGCAGCTCAAATGTGTTGCACCAGGGGTGTGATCACCGCCCAGCATCCCTGAGCAGCGATCCAGCTGCTGCCCATATGGTCAGAGACACTCCCGCCCTGCGTTACAGTATCTCCTCAAACAAGGACCATCTCGCTTCAGTCATGTCACCAAAATAATCATGCATCTGGCGGTTGCGCTGCATCCAGGAAGCTTGTGACCAGGATGCAACATGGCAACAAGGTCTGGCACTTAGCGGCATTTAAAACGTCGTCATTCGACTGGAAACTCTAATCCCCCTGAGGATGCCGTCTGGGAAGTAAGCCCATATGACAAAGGGTAGCGCAAAAGTGTGCTGCCCCACCAGCGTAATGCGATACCTCTCGTAAATGTGGGCCGCACATGGGACCAGGCCCCTTGGCCCGCAGGGCGTTCGAATAGCCATGTAGTGGCACAAATGAGGTTTTGGGGTGTGGATTCTGACATACTCAAAACGCAGTGTAGCTGGAGAGTGTGAAAGGCCTGCTTGGTGTAATATAACAATTCCTCGGTTTTCGACCATTCGCTAATATGACGGTATTCATTCAAATATTCATTCTTCGACCAATGTGTGCAATTATGACCAAAAGTCATACGCCAGACAGCAGCGCACGCCGAAGTGATAGAATGGAATGTACAAAATTTTGTTAAAAATGTCCACTTCGTGAAGAAGCTTATCCCAACACAGTCGCGTTCACGCCTAGGCTATGAGGAGGGGATGTACAACAAAATCAGTCAATTTACATACAGTAGAAGTCTGCATGATCTACACCAAAGCAGACCCTCGAGGTAAAGTTCACCACGTCACGCTACATTTCATACTTGCAGAAACCCAGGAATGTTAAATACGTCGTCAAATCATGTACTTCCAATCACTGCAGAAAACGAGGCTGTAGGCAGCCTCCTGAGCATCACTGAAGGGAGGGAAAAGACGGCAGGGAAGGGTGACTGAACAGCACTGAGGTGTCGCGGATGCAACCCTCAAGTCACTGGAAGTCTTGATTTTATCTGGAAAAATCTCAAATGGGAAACTATCACACCAGGATAGTTAAGGTCTCATTGGTCTCGTGATGCTTTAATTTAGCCTTTAGCATCGTGTAATATCCATAGATAAAATTCCTAGTTTTTACTCCTGCATTAAACAAAAAAACAGGACAACACAGCAGAATGGCCCAACTGCACCCAGAAGGTTCTGGAAGGACGTAGGCCAGTGGATCAAGTTACATTCCCCTCTTGGCGGATCAATATTTCAGGCAGAGTTTCAGCCCCACGGGGGAGCCTAATGGCCAGGAAGTCTGGAGCAGCGGTAACGCTATCCTTCTGACTAGAGGATGAGTCCACCAATCAGAGGGAGAGGACCCCCAGCACAGCGAGGGAGCGGATGGACTCCTGATGTTACGGAACGGGGCTGTAAGGACCGAAAGATGACAACAGCCCAAAAATACCTCTCTGAAGCTGATTAAATATATCTCTGTTGAAGCAGCAAGGGTGGTAAGGTTGTGACCTGGGGTAGAGAAATGAAGAGCCGATGCACTTCAGGAGGACATAAGGTGACGGTAGTGAGCACTGTGGAGAGAGCCTGTTCTCTTTGAGCGATCTTTCCCCTTGCCGGACCAGATGAATAGGCTCAGTGGAGAGGATCGTGGCTGGGTAGTTCTTGGAAATGCTGTACCTCCTTCTGAGGGCCTCTTCCAACTCACTCCACTGAGGAACCCAGAGAGAAGGAAGCTTCCGAGTGACACTCTTTTGGAACCATGAAGCATGGGACGCGATGGGAAACCAGGTATGCCATATCTATTCTAAGAGCGACATCTTGGTGACCACAAGCTCCATGTAAAGCATGTTTAAAAGCAGTAGATTCTGTTTAAAACTGTCTGAGGGCACAAGAGATAAGCATGGGAAACGACAGAGCTAGTGATTTTGTAGGGTGGGGGATTTGGCAAAAAAAAAAATGGCTGTATGATCTTGCAAAGTCATGTTTAGCGCATGGCTACTGATGATCATGAAGATTCTAACTTGCCCTTGCAGATGTTCTCTTTCGAAGGGGATTGATGGTTTTTACATTCTCCGACAACACGGCAGGTTTGAAAATATTTGCTATTAATAATTAAAACGCAATACTAATCTGAATGAAAATTTAGAATATAAATTTAGGAAACAAACAAAACAGATATCAAAGTCATTTTTGGTGCTGTGTGTCCTCGAGTTTAGGAGTCAACGTTAGGTTAGGTTTAAGGGACAATGAGTGTGCAATTGCGGACACAGCTGTGAACATACACCCCGACAGACTCATCTGAGGCGGCCATTTTGAGAATCCAGCCCTGTACAGAGGGGAAGTGCCTGTAATCGGACTCCCATTCTTACAGATCCAGGATGAGAGTATCAACCAATCAGCAGCGAGCATCTCTGTGATAGCCGAGGATATGACAGAAATCAGGTATGTGGGCAGAATGACTTTGAGGTAGCAGGACAGTGACAGAGAGGTCACCTAATGCCCACCCGCTAAAAGCATACAGCAGGCAAAATGCATGGAGGATAATGCCGTTATCTGGAAGCTGTTGGTTTTAGGGTCTCCTTTTACACTGCTTTTTCCCTTTATTTATTTATTTGGGACAATGCACATTAATGAACAAACACTACAATGAAATAATCAAGTAATGCTTGTAAATGAGCCAGATTGTAGCACAATCGCTAGTTTACATCTGCTGAGCATTAAAACAGTCCATGTGCAATATCATGATAATGAAAGGGTAAAGTATTAGGGTGCAAGTCAAATAGCAATATAAACGAAATGGACATAATTGTAATAATCCACATTCAAAACTTCAAGGACCAGAATCAGTAGGGTGTGTGGGATAGAGATAGGGATTACCTGCGAGCACAGCAGCATGACCAGTTCAACCACCGAAGTGCTGGACTTCATGCATACCAGGCCTGTAGGGATAACGCGGAGCAGAGTCAGAGTATACACATGTCAAACACAGACACACAAAAACACCTGACATGAACCAAGTGGACTGTATTTCACAAACAGAATCACAACATGTTGGCCCCTGGACACACAGGTAGAAGTCAAAGACCTTGACAAATAACATATCCGCACAGAGACACCAGCACCACACAACCACCCCTCTGTGCTCAGTCAGGACTGGCAGAGTCCACTGTGGCAGTCAAACTTCATCTTAATCACAGACTCATCGCTCATGTGGCTTTTTGAACTAAGAAACAAAACGACAGCCGTTGGATGCAAACTTTCACGGTGGCCTTCAGATTCAGAGACAGCTTAAGCCTCAGCGTGCTACGTTATCGTAAGGAAGTGTGTGCCGAGCAGAGAAACCCGCCTTGTATCTGTTTACTTTTGGGCTGTTTTCTCATTCGGCCTGCTGGTCTTGCTAAGGATTAGCCGGTATGTGGTTTTGGCAACAGGTGGGATTGGCCTGCGAGATCTGGGGTGGGACATCGGATTAATTTTCTGTATTTTGGTGGGATTTATGACTGGGCTGCATGTTCCTGGCATGAATGTGGGATTGTCCTGCTGTTTCTGAAGTGGACAAAGGCTGCCAAGCAAGCGGGATCATGGGAAAATATTATTTGAGAACATATAGTCATGTGGGCTAGACTAGAGGAAAATCAGGGAAATAATTAATTACCTCAGTGATACTATTCCTCTCGATACAAACAGTTCACTCTCACTGCAGACGTCACGTGCAGACGTGCACTGCACAGCTCATTTCCTCTCAACAGATACAAGGTTGATTCGTACTGTGCCAGCAGGAGGGAAAACATTCCAGACCGTTCTATCTAATCAGTCTCGCTTAATCAATCCCAGAGCCTATACATAATCTGCTTCACTTAAGGCTAGAGCAGTGAGCTGTTCATATCTATACATAAATGATTCTGGTATCCATAATCATGATGGTATCATGCCCCATTACAGTCACATTAATCTTGTTAAACTCAAACCATAAACAAACCATTTTAGATGAATAATAAATTATATGTGATTGTCTACCAGAGCTCAATTCTGCTCCCCACGGTATGCCATAGTGTCCTTCTGTCTGACCGTAAACACCTGCTACTTCTTGCACTGACCTAGCCTAGCCAAATGCATTTAGAGGGGTCACACTTGGCAGGTCTGAGCCTGTTAGCAGATAAAACTGCCACTGCATGGCTTAAAGTGCTGGTATGACAACCAAATATTTGGGAAGGGGGTTGGCTGGGACAGAGAGGGTCTGGCCCCGATGTAGTTGCCATGGTGACAGATGAGGGGCCATTAGTAGACTGGCTTTGTACCATGAGCTGCACAATTTGTCCGCAGGACCAGACCAGGTGCAACAAGGGAATTTCTACATGTTCACTAATTAGTGGTGTGCAGGTTGATTCCTTTTACTCTCCCCAGCAGAACAGAATAGTGATACTTTATTAACTGCATGGGGAAATTGTCTATTCACCCAAGGACATAACTTTGGGTTGAGCATTGGAGGGGTTGAGGTCCCCACCCATTTAAGGGGGTCCAAGGGGTTGTATTGGCTGGTTTTGATTATTGGGGGATTATAACCCTCCCCCCCATAATTTATGTCCATGTAGTCACCTTTTTTAACTTTCTCTCCATGAGACACACAGATAAAAATTGGTTAAAGCAAGCTTGGAGATTACAGCTCAGGGATTAAAACCAGCGACAATCTGATCATGGGGTCCTAACCCGCTGAGCCACACAACAACCCCTGGGTAGGGGTACTAGTGTTATGCTAGAGCGACAGAGGACTACAGGACGTATGAAGGGTCATAAACCAGCGGGATGTAAGCCAGACAGAGTGTCAGTACTCCTCCTGCTCTCTTTCCCTTTGTGTTTTAAGGATATAGTTAGGGGTGTGTCTCTGTCCCCTGTACCATACACACTACCAAAGTGTTTTATGGGTGGGGTTTAATCCTGGGTTTTAAAAACCAATCTCTGTAGACTAGCCATTCTTCTTTTCTGCAGATTTTCTTTTTTTTTTTTTTCCTTGGATGAAAGAGGGATTCAAGCCTGACGGACCAAGCAACAGGGTTGCAGTTTTGCTTCTTTGTTTTGTCACAAAGTTGTCCCTGCATGTACTGTGTTATTAAACACAGGGGCAGGAATGGTTAGGAGACTGTGGTACATCCCTGAGCTCACAGCATGCAGAAATTTCTGGAATGTTTTTGGGTGAGGTCTCCTATCAATGGTTAGTGTTGGACCTCTTTGAGGATTGGACCTCCACAGGCACTCCGAGCGGGGCGAGACCTCCACAGGCACGCCGAGCGGGGCGAGACCTCCACAGGCACGCCGTGCGGGGCGAGACCTCCACAGGCACGCCGAGCGGGGCGAGACCTCCACAGGCACGCCGAGCGGGGCGAGACCTCCACAGGCACTCCGAGCGGGGCGAGACCTCCACACGCACTCCGAGCGGGGCGAGACCTCCACACGCACTCCGAGCGGGGCGAGACCTCCACACGCACTCCGNCCTCCACACGCACTCCGAGCGGGGCGAGACCTCCACACGCACTCCGAGCGGGGCGAGACCTCCACACGCACTCCGAGCGGGGCGAGACCTCCACAGGCACGCCGAGCGGGGCGAGACCTCCACAGGCACGCCGAGCGGGGCGAGACCTCCACACGCACTCCGAGTGGGGCGAGACCTCCACAGGCACTCCAAGCGGGGCGAGACCTCCACAGACACACACGCTGACAGGAGACGCCAAGTGGTAGAGGAAAAGAGCGGCGTACAGCACCTGTACCTTCTATGAGCAGCTCCTGGCCATGGCTCCCCAGCAGGGTGCGTGACAGGAAGGGGGCAAAGTCCACAAAGATCTCCCTTAGCAAAGGGGCCACCTTCTCCAGGGCTCGCTCCAGCTTGGTGGTGATGCTACGTAATAAGAAAGGGAGGAGAACAAAGGGAAAGGAGGAGAGAGAGAGAGAGAGAGAGAGAGAAAGGCAATGTAAAACAGTCAAGTAAGTTCAACGTAACTCATTAGTATAGACTGTGGTTAAGACCATTCTATGCAACCTGAACAAGCAGTGCAGGATCCTGGGAAGGGCAGTCCAGTCCCAGACTGCTGGCAAAGCTCCGGCCCGTGTGGTGGTACTGTGTTATTTATGGATTCACCTTGCTCCGTCCCACTTCTTCTCAATGACATTGCAAGTATAGAACCGGTTTATGATTTGCATGTGCATAGTGCACTGCGTCATGTCTGTGACTAACATCTTACTGTGATCCATCACCTATAGCTGTGTTTGCCAATCCGGTTCGCAGGGACCCATAGATGGTCCATGTTTTTGCTCCGTCCGAACTCCCTGCCAGACAGTCCACACTTTTGCTTCCTCTCTGATTTTACTGGGAGCTGGAAGGTAGCAAAAACGTGGACTGTCTGTGGGTCACTGTGGACCAGATTGGGAAACACTGACCTATAAGCATATTCATCACCAAATGGTTTACTGTGAGTCTCTGTCCCATGCTTATAGCACAGGCCTACAAAACCAGCTTAATGCGCCTGATCATCCACAAAACCACCCCTGAATATGCTGCCAGACTAGCTGTGATAAATTCCATAAGGGCAGGATCATTTCCAGTCCCAAAAAGCAGAACAGCAACTTAGAGCACAAAAGAAGAAAAAGAGTGGGCTGTAGACCAGCTTTGATGCCTTCGTTCTGGCAGTCACACGCCATTGGATGGAAAATGAGTGGGTCTGCTTTGACAGACGGAGTGGGCGACCAATAGAAGTAGCCTTGCCTAAGATCACCCTGCACCTGCTGCCTGGAATCCTGTCAGAGGGTTAAAGGATTTCGGATCTGAAGGAATCAGGCCTAGCGTGAATGGATACTGGTCCACCTCACAAAAGGCACTGAACTACAAATTAAAACCACAGGAATGATTGTACTGGTATTATTACACAGTCCCTACAGTAAGAGCTATGAGTGAGACAGGATGAACAGGTCTACCCGCAGATTTTCTTGTAAAGAGTTTTCCAGCCATGTTAACATGGACAAAAAGATAAAAATGTATTTCACAGCGATTGTGGTCAATGCCATAGTCATCACCACAGCCACAGCCATCAGCGGGAAGCAGGAACGCAGTTTTCTTCAAAAAGAAAAGGCGCTGAAATGGCTCAGTAACAGTCTCTGTGTCCTTAAGCCACTTCTGAGATGGCTACACAGAAGCGCCTTTCAAGAGCTGTCCTCTTTGAATGCATGTGAGATTTAGGGTAGCAAACTGGACATGAAGGGGGGGAGGTGGTACAGTTACCCAGAGGTGCAAAGTTCAGGTCCAAAATGTAAAAATCCAGACCAAGATTTTGCTTTAACCAACCAGTAAACTCTGTGACTGACTCCTTAGATTCAACTAGTTGGGTGAAACAAAAGCTTGGTCTGGATTTTTATTCCTGGACCCGAACTTTCCACCTTTGCAGTTACCTCATGTTCTCCACAGTGTCCTCAGGCATGGGTGCTACAGTCTGCACAGCTGGTAAGTTCTTGCTGGTGGCGCCATTTACCACGAAGCTGGAGGACGAAGAAGAAGTGGAGGCAGAGTCTGTGGCACCTATAGGAGCAGGATAGACAGGAGTTACAAAGGGTGGCCCTGTATCTTCTGCTGGACCTCTCCAGAACACCCGATTTAGAATATATACAGATATCATAGAAAGTGCCAATCTGACAAAAGTTCTTTTCGTAGGTTCCCAGAAAGCTGGGTATTAGTTTTAAGATCAAAGGTACATCAATGTTCATCTAAACCACATTCAACATTTACAGATTCTTCTTCACAGAAGTAGGGTTAGCCAAAAACTGGCTTCCTTTTCAGAGTATTGTACATTAGCTTGTGCTACATAACCACTATACACCTGGGGGGGAGTTTAGCAGGTAAGGTCAAAGGGGTTAGCCTGCAATCACAAAGGGATGGTCTAACACAGGGTTCTTCAACTCTGGACCTCGATTCCAAATCCAGGCCGCGTTTTCAGTTCTCCCAGGTAGTTGTCTAATAATTACTGATTCTGATTGGTCAGAGGCTTCACACCTGACTGACAGGTAAAGGAAGGCTGGAAAACCAGCAGTGCTCGGACCTCGAGGACCATGAGTTGAATAACCCTGGTCTAACAGAACACACAGCGGCAAGAACATATGAGCCTGATAAGACAGAAATAGAACAGGGAGGAAACAGGTCGGCACTTTTATTGCCGCATCAGGCTGCTCATTAGCAGCGAGGCTAAAAATAAACTGAATAATCCACCCTTGTTGTTTCTTGTGACAAAATGGCCTCTTTATAATCGAGCAAAGCAGAGATTTGTTAGAGTGGGGAGAGAGGGAGAATGTTATCGGATTTAGAAGAAGGATTTTGCCAAAAAATTAATCGGAAGACGGAGGCTGGAGAGTCAGCTTTCAGATTCACCCATAAGACTCAGCCTTGCGTGCTGTGTGAAAGTTGCCTGTTACTTGCTTAAGAGCTCAAGCTGTATTTTCAGACATTGAGACACTCCACAGACTTCTGCATCAGAGACTCAACATGATTGATTGATTTTTAAGAGTAATATGAAAAACTATACAAAGACTTTGTCTTTCAGCGATGATTACTTTATTTAAGAAATGTGTTGCTTTGACTTGTCAAAGGGTGCCAAACATACTTTACAAATATATTGTGGAGATGTATTACATACACAAACTCACAATTCACAAGATTTCACCCTCATATCCAGATTTAAAATGCAACAAAAAAGCTAATGATGCAGCACTCAATTTCAAATGTGGCCATAGTCCTACCTCTTCTCTGGACAGCGCTAACGGTTCTTCAAATACAATGAGAAAAGGGCCATCTAGTGTTTGGAGTGTGTCACTGCAAGTGGCCTGAATGGTCCCCGGCTTCAAGCAGACCAGCTGGGAGGGGGTGGGGGTACTGTAATGCCCTTGACTTCCATTAACACTCATTAAATGCTTATATAATTCCCTGCATGTCTTCAAAAGGGAAATAATTTCCACTGATGATTCAATTTTCCATTGGTTATTCAAATTAAATGATGATGAATTACCACAAGCGGGAGTGTGTTCAGAAATAAATCTCCATATAAAAACCTTCTATTAGACACTGGCGCTCAAATCTATATTTGACACAAAGAAAAAGTGTTTCAGGAAACGACTTGGACATGAAGAGCAGTCTGGTCTGGCCTCCTGATGTGCACTCAGGATTCAAACAGTGCTGGTGGCCATTTCCCAGCTCCAATAGAACTCAAGTATGAGGTGGAGAGCTTTGCAGCTGTTGTGCCGATAGGAACATCAGGTGTCAAACCTAACTAACCCAGCCATAAATTGACTGCTGTTTTACCAGCTGTTATATAACAATTTATGTACATTATTGTGCAAACAATGCATAACAATGCTTAAGGCTATTTATCAGGGTAGTAAGTATATATTTGCTCAGAAAAAAACACAATTTTACATTAAAACAAATACAGATTAACAGTAACTCAATAAAAATTAAACATTTTTCTTCTGCTCTTGAAAATATTGCTGAAATATTGTTGGATGGTAAGAAGAACCTCTCCTCCGGAGCACCCTGTTAAATTTTATCACCAGCTCAATAAATTCATTGACTTAATCAAATAACTCAATGAGGTAATGATTAGCCAAATACAATGAGTTAGTGGTGGTGTCAAAAAAATACTGGACTGCTGTTTGGTGAGGTTTCAAAATGATTTTGACAGACATATATCAGTTTTCATCAAAAAAGATAATCACTTGAACATTGTTTTCTTTCTCCTAAGACTTTTACACCGTACTGTATAAGTAAATTTGAAGTCTATACTGGAAAACCAACCTAGATGTGTGACAAGCTGACGGCTCACCTGTGGTGTTGATCATGCTCTTGGGCGTGGCTGTGGCCGCAGCAAAGATGTTGGGGGTGCTTCCGGAAGCCATGCCCCCACCAGCGGTGGGTGTGCCCACCGTGTTGACAGCCAGGCTGCCAGGGGGCGGCTTCTTCACCGGCACCACCACGCTCCTGGGGGACAGGGCAGACCGCAGTGTCAGACACAGGGATGGGGGCCAAGTACTATGGGACAGACTCCACACTGGGTTTTAGTATTAAATCAGTCATTGAGTTTGGGGGGGGGGGGGGGAGCAGCATGTCATTCATCACAGAGGGCTAGATTGCACATTGTTGTGGAGTCATAAGGCTTTGGCCAACATACACATATTCAAAATTTTAGGGGTACTTCATCTAAATCCTGTAAACAATACACACAGTATGGTCCATGCATTCTGCTTATGTACATGGCAACTACAGTACAGTGTTGGGGAAGTTCCTTACAAAAGTAATCCATTACAGACAGTTGAGTATAAAGTTGGAGTACAAAGAGTACTCAGCTGGAGTAAGCTGGAGCAAGACTCCAACGAAGGAACAGACTGTGGCACTTTGGCTAATCCCCCCCCCACCCCCCTGCTCAGCTCCCTTTTCCCGAACCTGCCAGGATGATCTCACTGCAAAAAAGGTTGTGGCTCATGGAAGCAAATTAATTGAGGCAATGGAGCAGTGAATGTATATATTGTGCATACTGGCTCATTAAGGAAGCAGGCTGGCATGTTTATTTATAGATTGACACACTGTACACTTGCCTTTGGGGGGGGGGGGGGGGTTGGCAGGGGTCCCCAGACAGGTTCCCTGACAGGGGTGAGGATGGGATTGAGAGGGGGGGGGCTGTCCTACTGCAAAGGTGAAGGCCCCACAGACAAATGGACTATATGGTTGGCTTTCTTGAGAAATTCCATTGTGATTTTATCTGACTTTGATCCACAGAGAAACGCTGATGCCAAATCAAGCCAAAACCATAAATCACTTCCAGAACTGCCGTGGATGTTCAGCTGGCGTTTCAGAGGTGACAGCCGCCTCATTTATCTATAGCCTACCGTACGCTTGGAGACATCCAACGCGGCAGACAATCAAATTAGGTAATTCAAAGATAAAGTTTTATCTTTCACGTTTCTTTCAGTTGGTATCACAAACCAGAACCTCCTGGATATCTGGTCCATTAAAGGTTCCATTAAAGTAACAGATAAGGGCCAGTGGCAAAATGTTAATTCTTCCCATTAATAATTCATTGGCTGAGCGCTCATGAATGATGTATAGATTATCCAAGGCATATTTTATTAACAATGCTGTCCTAATTGAGTTGCTATAGGGAAGTCAAGGATTAATCTTAAGATTAATAAGCGTGTGCTGAGGCGACTGTACATGATGATCACGTGACTTCAGATGAGGCGCCCGCAGTCCAAAAAAATACCATCTCTGACTATAACACAGTAAATAGTAAACCATTTACGGCAACCCATCCTGCATATGGAAAATGACTTTGTGAGAGAGATGCCCCACTACTGTCCTGCAGCAGAATCAATTTATACGTTTTTTTATATTTTTGAAATGCATGGGAACATATCTTTCAAGTTAGCAGGCTAATTGATTTAGATTGACCCTAACCAGCTCACTATAGCTTATGCGTTAGCTGAAATTAATGCTTTAACTTAAACCTGTGCCACAAGTATATATGCTTTAGTTCTTTTCCACATCCATCCCTCCATCTGCTTTTCCAGGTCAGGGTTGCAGTAGGACCTGGGGCCTATATCCCAGGCAGCATAGGGCACACGGCTTGGCCTTCCATGGTTTTTCCAGATTGGGGGCGCTTGCGCCTCTAACGCCCGCAGTGTGGAAGGGTAGACGATACTCTTAATCGCCATAGACCATGCCTGATGAGACCCCACCACCTACCGGTCGAAGGAGTGGAACTGCATGGGAAGGGCGGCCTGCGCCTCCCTCTTAATGGCAGGATCCGGGTAGGGCAGAGGTTCGGGGCCCGCCTCAGGGCCCTCCATAGGGGCCGCCACCAGGCTTTTCAGGATCTCCTTCACGTTGATTCCTTTGTTGGCCTGGGAGATGCTGGAGATGGACGGGGCAGGCTTGAGGGCCTCCATGACTGCCACACCCACGGCGGGCGACTCAGCCAGACTCTCACGAGACTTGTGTACTTCTGAAGACAGCGTGCCCAGCAGCTCACTCATGGCCTCGGGGCCCCCGACCACAGACCCCACCAAGGTGACAGAGGTGGCCATGGCCGACGGGACAGCAGCAGCCTGCTCCATGTCTGAGCCGTTCAGCATGGCGGACACCTGCTCCTCGCCGATGCCAGAGTCAGTGTGCGGCAGCGAGGGCTCCAAGGGCACCTCCTCCAGAGGAGGCCCTATCTCCTTCTCCTGGCTGACCTCTGCTAGGGCTGATGGGTTCTCTGTAACACACACACAAAAATACTTGTATTTATATCTGTGTGGGGACCGTCCATTCATTTCTATGGGAAAATCCATAATCCCAACATGACGACCTTAACCCCTACCCAGCCCTAACCTAAACCATAAGTAACCAAACAAAATACAAGACTTGGCGCTTTTAGTTTTTTTGATTGCGGTCAGATTTTTCATCGGGACCAACCAATCAGATGTTCTGGTTCCATCTCCTCTATAATCTGATTGGTTATCTCTTTGAAACAATCATTTTAATGCCCTCAGAACATTTTTGTGTAAGTAAATCTCCCACGAGCCGTTTTCATTCCGTGATAAAAGGCCCTGCGTCAGTGCTTTCTCAGCACCCTAAACAGCAGGCCTAATTTAGCTCTACCAATTAGCAGCGCTCATAAATCACACTAATGAGGTGGCGAGACCCCATCTCCTGCCGATCACATCGCTATGTTCTCTGCGTTTCATTTTCGGTTTGCTTAGAGGAACAGGTGGCGGTTTGGCACAAGCGTTGAGACAGCAGGGCAGAGCCACGCACCCGTGCTGGTGGGCGAGTTGATCTCCTGCCGAATGCTTCGTCCGGACAGGCTGCTTGACCTGGTAATCTCTCTCTGGGGCTCCAGAATGTCCCGATATTTGGACACCATCAGGACGGAGATAAAGTAGACCACAGCCAAGGCCAGGAACTGGGCCTGCTTGCTATCATCCTGAGAAAGAGACAGGAAGGTAGAAAGAGACAAAGAAGTAAGGGAGAAAGATGGACAGACATCATATCTTCAGGCGGTGGCTCAGGCTCCCCAGAAGCGGCACCATGACCGTGCGCACACTCACCACGTCGCGGAAGACGACAGCCCGGAGGCGATTGATGTCCACATCCTGCAGAAGTCTGTCAGGGTCCTTGATGGGAGAAAGGTTACTGGGGACATTCTCTATGGCAGTCTAAAGCAGGGAATAGCAGAACAGCGGAGTTTTCAAACCCACCTGGCTTCAGCACATGCCTAACGGCTCCTCACATGCTAATTCATACTGACTGAACAGATGAATGGACGGACAGACAGAAAGATGGAAAGGGCCACCCTGACTGAAAGCGACAGGCCACTATGTCTAGCTATTCCATAAAACATCTGAAAGAACGAGGCAATCATAATAGGCTAGGCTAAATATACAGTACTGTAGAAAAGTCTGTTTAAAGCTATTTATCTGCTTAGAAAAAAAACACAATTTAACATTTAGAGCATATGAAAATTAAGAGTAACTAAAAACTGACAACAATTTCTTCTGTTCTCCAAAAATATACTGATATTGATCTCACACCTCAGGGGCACCCCAGCCATGCCATGTATTTTGTTAAATTTCACCACCAGCTTGCTTAGCTAACTAACTAACTAATTAATTACTTTAACTGAACAAATAAAAGAAGCTTTAAAGTACTGATTAGCCAAGTGAGGTATGCTAGTTGTCAGTTTAAAAAAAATATATGGGGTTGCTGCAAATAAGCTAACACTCTTTGATAGATGTAATATCAGTATTATACCAATGAAGATCATTTAAACATCTTTTTGACTTCCTAAGACTTTTGCACAGTACTTGGCTAACAAGCACATATGTAATCTATAAGTTTATTTCTGTAGTAAGATGTAACACAGAGGCATAAAAGCATTGCTGAAACAGTCCACCTACAATTAAAGTATATATATCACAACACAATAAGTCTGGAAATGTAATCAGCATTAAGTAATATTTTTGACTGTACGTGATTTTTTAAAACACTGTATTATGTTGTATTATATGGTGGCAGTGATGTTGTAATTCTTCAAAACAGTTTATTGTGTGTGAAGTAATATTATTAACATGAAGAATGTGGAATGTGGTTCCAGAATAATCAAGGTGGACCATGCATTTGGGGGGGGGGTCAACGTGTGTACCTTGCTGGCGGGGGGGAGGCTGGGATTGTCCTGGGCCTTGTTGTTGGACAGAGGGGGCTTGGTGGTGCGGTCCCGCTGCCGCTGCCTGCACTCCAGGCAATTACGCACAGCCACGCAACACACTGGCATCATGGCAAGAGAGAGAGAGAGAGAGAGAGAGAGAGAGAGAGAGAGACCGCAATGTCACACACACCAGCAGGCATGCATACCCCCATGCAAACGCACACACAAGCAGGCGTGCAGGCCTGCATTCAAATACACACACTCACATGTGCACACACACATACCTGCAGCGATGCACACACGCATGCAAACGCACACACACGCACACCTGCAGGCATGCACGTCCATATGCAAACACACACGTGCGCACACACACACGCTCACCCAGTCGCAGGCATTGCCGCATAAGTCCCCCGGAGGACATGTTCTTTTCCGCCTCGATCTCGCTGAAGTTCAGGGAGCTGGCGAACACCAGCACGTCCACCATGGCCATGAGGCGGCTGAGGAAGGTCACCGCAGTTTCGGGGGACATGCCCTGTGTGGTCTCCATGTTCTCCAGCTCCGTCTGTGTCACAGCATAGGGGCGGCGGCGGAGGTGTGGGGATTAACGTGAGACATTGGAAAATGGCAGCTCAGTCAACAAACCAGCCACTGTCAGTGAACCTAGGCCAAGGTGGACGAATGGACAAAACACTGGCTGGTTTGGTCGGGATGTTGCAGGCGTGCAAACACACACAGATAAATAAATTTGTTCACTGTGTAATTTATTACCATTACAGACATTAGGAAAGAAGCAGGAAGTCCAGTGAAACCCCAATCCACCATCTACACCTCCCAGAAGTATTTTACTGGGGTAGGTAAGGGACAGAGCAGGAGCCACACCTGCTAGGACAGGGATGGGGGACCTGATCCATGGAGAGCCGGCATAGCTGCGGGTTTTTGGGATGACCTCTCAATCAACGAATCACAGTGGGTCCCCAGGCCTGGAGTTGAGAACCACCATTTTATTAATGACTGAGTAATTATTGACCATCCCAAAAACCTGCACCCACACCGGCTTTCCATGGATCAGGATCCCCACCCGTGTGCTACGATCTCCATTATTTTACATTCTAAAATGCTTTTGGAGTTCTGAAGTGTAAAACAACACCCGATTCTAAGGAAACTGGCCTGCTTTGCTGACAACGCTGAACATGTTTCTGGCAGATAAACAGACAAACATCACAGAATACGGTAAGCCACAAGCTATCAATAGCTGGAAGGACCAATCAAAATGCAGTGGGCAGGGCAACGTGAGAAACAGTGGACATTGATTGGGGCAGAACACTGAAGGGAGGTGAGAGGACCGATAGAAGTGCAGTGAGGAGCCACGCAAGAAAGCAGACTGTCCAGAGGACGACCAAGGTGGCACTAGTGTTGTTAGCAGTGGTATAGATGGTGAGGCCCCTTTACTGCAGGTACCCACCTCGCCCCCCGTGGCCCCATCCCCAGGCATGGGGGCGGCCTCTCCACATTTTGCCACTTTTTCAGAAGAGGATCTTCCATCCCTCTCCCATGTTGAAAAAGAGGGACAGACCAGCAGAGGAAAGCAATCATGGAAACCTCAGAGCAAGGGTCCCCGTCTCCTTACTGCAGTATATAATCAGGTGTGCCCTCTAGTGGCCATTATTGCCATCACTTGGCCATGACTGCATGACTTCTAAGCTACACTGGGGCACTGTCATTTCAAGTTCTTATTTTTCGTTTCAGCCCAAGTCAGTGAAAATTTCATTGCACAAAAACATTCATAGCACGGCACACACCCCAAGAGAAGTCTGAAACGTTTAATCTTAGATAAATGTAAAGAAACTGAAACTTACAGCATCCGTACTAACCTTTGAACTCTGTACATGCAACAGACAAAAGAAAAACAGACGAAAGTACAACAGAAAAAAAACAACACAAAAGAGGATTAAAACCAAAGAAAATGGCAGTTTGGGTAGAACCAAGTGCAGTCACTCAAGATTAAAAGGTCTGTTGAAGCTCTAGATTTACAAAGGAACTAAGGAACTGCACCTCAGGCAGAAAGTGTGTGACAGATATGTGAAAGGAAATAAATAAATATGAGTATTTAAGGAAAGGTGCTGTTTGTTAGGGGGCCTTAAATCCATGCTGGGCACGTATATATGCCATCAATGGCCTGCAATGCAGGAGAGGGGTCTAGCTGGAGTTTTGTAGACCTCCAAAGCCTTGGAAGACCTCAGGCACTGTGCAAACCACATGCACGATGAAATATGGTACTCTAGCACAAGCATTCGCAATAATTCTATTGGTGACATAAATCCGAACAAGTTAAATAATAGGACTGTAACAGTAAAATATCTGTTTTCTGTTTTTTTCTCTTGAATATTGCAATATCTGCAAAATTACATCTGCTGACATTTTGAAAATGTTTCCATACTTTGGAGCTTCTTGGGCAATCTTTCAAATATCTCAAATATTTGTTGGGGCACTAATGAATAATATATAAAGATTTTATGTAAAAATGAAAAACAGCTTTTATTTAAAAAAACAACCCAGTTTCAGGTGTGTGTGGTACATTTTTCATCAGGTGTGACATCCTCAGATGGCCTGGCACCTTAAGACCTGGCCACAGGGGCTATGGCTGAAACCGACGCTCGGTGGGGTGTAGGGACCAAAGTCTGCCACTGGGTGGCAGTAAACTCCTACTTACAGAAGGGGAGGTGGCAGCAGAGAGCAGCGGAAGAATGCCTCCACAAGCAATGATAATGTTGTCCACCATCTGAGAGATGAGGTGGATGGTGTTGTGCACGAAGATGATGTTCTCATTGCTGTTCACAAAATCCATGACAGATTTGGTGGAATGGCTGCAGAGAAGCGAGAGAATCTGTTAAATTGACCACTTCTTAAGGGTTCAATTACTTATATAGCAGAAAGAAATCTTTCCATTACCAGCTATGCACCTGAAGGACAGAATTGGCTGCTTGAAATCTCTATATCAGTTCTACACCCAGTGCCAGCTATTCTCTTCATTGTTATGAACATATCTACCTCTCAAAGAAAACAATTTGTTTTCTCAGGTTAGTACTTGGGTACTAGCTAACGGTTACTTCCCAAGCAGCTGTGCTTGCTGAATAAGGACCGGGGCCTCATCCCTTAAGGAGTCCACGCACACGCAGGTAGTCCTAGTTAGATGCTGACCTCCGCCACACATGCACGTCTGTCTCCAGGGCGAAGAGCAGGTCAGTCAGTAGCCGCTGGTGCATAGGTGACCACTTGAATTCTGGGATGCGGAACATGGTAGTCCGTGGGCCCGGGCTGAACTGGCGTCGCTGCTCCTCGGTCATCGGCATGCCCCGGAAGCCCAGGTCCACCCGCAGGTCCCGCTCCATCTGACTGGCCATGCGGCCGTGGAGGGCCTGGGGGAGTCAGACCCAACAAGCCGTCAACGAACTGTAGATCTCTTGGGGAGGTCCCTCAGGAGGACTGTGCACTTTCTGCTCAGATTACTAGGTACATTCATCACAGCAATATTTACCCAGTGGACCAGCTGATTGGCCTCCCTAGATATTTATAGGGTTCTACTTTTACACAGTTGGGAAGCCCAGAGTAGATACAAAGACAAGATAGAAACCATAAAATAATCTACTCTACTGCCACCACCGCGGCCTTGATTTCATGTCCTAATTCAATCCATGTAAAGTCTTCTCTTAGATCCTTCAAAGACATTTCAGTACTGCACTGTCATTCAGTTAAGGTTCTAAACACATCAACATGGCGATTCGTTTTTGGCACCATCACATACATGCACAGCTTGGTTCAGTGCCCAACAGTCTGACCCAGGTTGGAGCGCTGACCTGCCTTATATTCCACCTGCCCTCCCAGGACCTGAGTGACTCACCACCTTTGGGTTACGATAACACCTGATCTGATCTGACCTGGAGACATGGAATTCAAAAGTGGTCAAGGACATTGAGCAGGGTTACCCAACTTTTCTGCTCTGCCACTAGACCCTCAGGTCACATTTGTTGTGTGACACTGAGCTCATGTTTCCTTTACTAAAACACTATAGCTATACATTAGTGATGCGTGGGTCGACCCATGACCCGCGGGTGCGGGCGGTTTTAGGGCAGACATTTTTTAAATATCGTGGGTGCGGGCGGGCGGGTCAAAAAGTTACAAAACGCATTTCATTATCAATCAAAACATGTTGTAAACGGGGTCGGCGTATAAATGAAGTTTGCGTATATTTTTCAATTTTAGAGTTTTTAATTTGTAGGATAAGCTACTAGTTTGGTGAAGTTAAGTATGCTCTGCTCTACTTCATTTTAGACAAAATTAAGTTAAAAGAAGACCTAAGTTCTACTAAGTTCATTCGAATCTGATAAGAGTTCTCAAATCTGATGTTACAGTTTTGACAACTAGTGTTTTGCATACATGTGCGCTTGTGTGTGTGCGAGAGAGATGTCTTTCGTGCAATTTTCCGCAACCCTTCAATAAATAACGACGTAAAAATCGATCTTTCGGTTTATTTGTTGTTGCCTGGTACACAGTTAATCTTGCATAAAATTGTGTCATCATCTTCAATCAGGGTACCCGCGGTGATGGAAAACCTGGAAAAGTTTTGGAATTTTGAAATAAATTTTCCAGGCCCTAGATAAATTTTGGAATTCTTGGATAGAGTGGAAAATTTAGGGAAAAGTTTTGGAAACTAGCCTTGTTCATTTTTGTTTCCCGCTTCATTCCGCAACGCGCTAACAGAAAGATACGAGTGGAAGTCGCGCAGATTTCGCGTATTTGAGATCGCTGATTTTTTGCTCGCTATTCCGGTTTTTATGGTTTTATTTATTTTTTTGCACGTATGCATCTGTGTTTATTAGGTAAGCAGATTGGCTTTTATTAGGGTGACCAGACAATCCATGTCAGGGAGGACACTTTGAGCTACTTCGGGTTTTACAAACTACTTTCTAATTGAAAGGCTCCTGTGCTCGGCTAAATAGTTTAGCTCTTCTTGTGCTTCGACTGGTTTGTTTCCTTGACTGAAAGACTCATCCAGCTGTTTCACATTAGCATTAGTGACACATGCATGATTATAGGAGACTGACCAATCAGCACACAGCAAGAGCTGAGTGCTCAAGTGAAATCCAGGTCCGTTTAATTGAAATGGTAATTTACAATTCCTGTCCTAGCTCAGAGTGTCCTCCCTGACATGGATTATCTGGTCACCCTACTTTTATCGTACCGAAAATTGTAGTATTACTGTCGTGCCGTATGCGGGACGCGGAGCGGAGACAGAAGAGCGGCAGTCAGGAAATCGGGGAAACCAGGGTTTTTTTTTTTATTTTTATTTTTTTTTAAAAAAGGGGCAGGCAAGAAAACACGCACTGATATTACAATGACCGGACTGGGGAAACAAACTGAAACGCGGACTAAATACAGAGGACTAATGACAACAACCAGAAACAGCTGATCACACGGGGATTCCACACTAGGTTAACGAGGGGGCGTGGCACACGAAAGGAGCGGACGATCGGGGCAGGACAATTACTATCTGAAACTGCATGATCATCAAATCAAAGCAAACTTGTGGGTTTTTGAAAATTTTCTTGTGGTACTGTTAAATTTTTTGGAAAAGTCATAGAAATTTAATCTGCCAGAACTGGGGGAACCCTGTTCAATGCGAATCTAGCACAAACCTATGTCATCTATGGGTTAGTGTCACAAATGACACTTCATTGGTAGGTTCTATGTCAATACAGGCTCAATGGTGTTTTTTTTTTTCGGGTCGGGTCGGGTCGGGTCGGGTCTTGGGTCATTATCCACGCGTATTTTTGCGGGTTAGATCTCCTGACGGGTCGGTTTGGGGCGGGTGTTAAATAAAGCCGACCCGCGCAACACTACTATACATAGTTTCTGTCTATCTCAGTCTTCACATCCTTTGGTCTTGCAGGCCTTAAACCTAGCTAAGAAAGGTGAGGCCTTATTACTTCAACTGTGCAATTTGGCTTGTTTACTTACATTTTTAAGGGCAGTCCACCGATGATGTCCTAACTAACCTAATTTAATTATTTTCGACATGCCAATACTACTCCTGTACGGCTAGGCAACATGGCCAAAAATGTTATCACAATAAAATAGGTAATATTGATAATTATCACAATACTTGTCAAATATTTAAAGACTGATTTTTGCTCCTGAGTAAAAGCTGAAGAAACCAGGCGTGGTTTTAAAGTAATCTTTAGCAACATAAAGTGAGAAGCACTTGCCAAACAGCATTTCACATTTCACAAATCTTACGTAGAAGTTGAACAGGGTATTTTAGTCAGCTGCTCCCACTTTTCCTAGCGTTTCTGAATTTTCTGTGGATTATTACTGTGTGGATTTGTCACGGGCTGAATTGTATTGTGAACTTTGGTTTTGGATTTCTCTGGATTATATATATTGGATGGGTTGCTTTGGACTTACCTGCTCTCCCGGTGAGTCGCCCTGTTGTTTTGACTGTGTGGTCTTTTGTCTGCCTGCCTGCCCTATTGCATTCTCATATTTGTTCAATAAACCCTCTGTGTTTTTATGGCTGTCTGCGCTTATGCTCCATTTCTGGTCACAAAGAAAGTGACATCATGTCATTGTGACGCAAAAGATGTCGCCAGCGATACGTTGGGTATTCAATTATATCAAACTTATCGAGCATTTGTGCTATTGAGAATGTGGAAAATTATACCACGATAATTATTGTTATTTTGTCAACCACTCTTCTGCTTAATATTTATGGAGCACTTAACTGATCCTACCAAACTTACAGAGCAGCAGCAACATTAGCTGCACTCAATGTACCTGTGTGGTTGCCGTGGTTTGGATCTTCTTCATCTCCTTGTCCTTGCCATCGTCTGACCGTTCGGTGTCAGAGGTGGTGCTGGCTGCGTCGATCCCACCCTCCTTCCTAGAAGAGGAGGGGTCTATTTCTGTGCCCAACTCTGCATGTTCGGATCCCCTGGAAGTGCCTTCGGCCTCCACGATGGCACTGATGTCTGCCAAAGCTGCCGGCAGCTTGAAATCCCCGTCCTCTGGGAGGCTGGGAGTCGTGACGGCTGCTGATACTATGTCAGAACCAGCCGTGGTCATATGGGCCAGCAGGCTCAAGTCGTCACTGGCGCTGCCGGTGTGGACCAGCGGCTCGGCTGACGCCAGCTCAGGAAGCAGCTTCCCGTCGGAACCGCTGGGTACCCGGCCGAATAGGAAGCCATTACCGCTAGGGACACTATCCTTCTCATCGGCTAACGTGATTAGCGGGGCCGAGTCGTCGCCATCTACCACACTCTGCTCAGGCGTCAGCTGGCCCACAGCGGCACAATACACACTGTCCAAGAGAGAGTCTACACCCGTCAGCGCCCCATTTTCAGCCACCCCACTTCCTGCCACTGTCTCTGGGGACATGTCCAGGTCATCCAGCTTAACTTCGGTGGCCTCTACCTTCTCCGCCTTGATGTCCACCAGCAGATCGTGCACCTCGACACGCACCCCGGCAGCGGTGGAAACGACGGCAGTCCGCTCTGCCCCGCCAGCTGCCCCGCTTGACCCCTTGCCCTCCGCCAACAAATTCCGCGAGTCGTTGCTCTCGGGGTAGTCCACCTCGCTCTCGGGAGTCTGAGTCTGAGAGCCGTCGTCGTTCTCGCGTATCTCGATGCCGCCATTGACAGCGGGGGCTTGGGCAGACAGGCCAGAGATGGTGCTGACGGAGCCCTTCTTTCCCTTCTTGATATTCTCCTCCTCCTGCCGCTGGTACTCCTCGTACATCTTGGCCAGGTACTCCTTGTGAGCTTCATAAGTCACCTGGGGGCAACGCAAAAAATTATGACCTTGCTCCGTAAACCTCTAATACAAGGCTCTTCAAATCTGGACCTCGATTCCAAATCCAGGCTTTGTTTTCAGTTCTCCCAGGTAGTTAGTTCAATAATTACTGAGTCTGACTGGCCACATAAGCTTCACAAGTAAAGGAAGGCTGGAAAATCAGCACGGCTCGGACCCTGAGGACCGAGATTTGAACAGCCCTGCTCTCAAAATTGGTTTAAATCATGGACAACAATTTTTTTCAGAAAAACAAACAGTAAGGCAATAAGACACATATACAATCCAGAAGATGCTATAACACATGGCATCTGCAGTGAGATATGCGATATGTGTCTTTGCATGCGATTTGCAGCCCACTGTCACTACCAAAACTTGAGCTTCACTGGAGTTTGCGCATAGATGCCAATCGCAAGGCCATGGCTAATGAGCCTATATAATGCTTGGCTGAACACTTAATAGCATATAATGTGTTTCTGGGTTGTGTGATGACACGTGTATCTGAATCCTGACGCCGTTGAAAGGACACGTTGCCATGACGCTCCAGAGCAAATGTGTAACTCGTTCTGCCAAAAATAAGTGGCAATTTGAAAAAAGCTATTAATAACAATCTTAGTTTATATAACTGGATAGATAAATTAATATCCAGCCTGAGGCGGACATAATAGGGATAAGGGCACTTGCCAAGGTACCAGTAAGACCAGTAGAGGGAGGTGTTCTTCACTATTCTGTCACACTCACCTTGGAGTGCGCAATGGACAGCGTGTCCACCCAGACACGCCAGCCACCCCACTCGTACTTGATGGCATGGTACAGCAGGATGCGGAAGATGTTGTAGACCATCTCTGTGATCTTCTGCTCCTCAGAGTTCTTGGGGTTGATGTAGCCCAGGGAGAACATCCAGTCCTGCCAGACTGAGCACTGGAGCAGGCACCTGGCTCACAGAGACAGCCAAGTCCTAATCAACACTCAGGCCTTAAAAAGCCCCCCGCTGTGGTCACAAAAGGGCAATGTTCTACCTTAACAAAACAGCTGAACCATAATCTCCCGTAACAGGCTTCTAGTGAGTTTCTATTATTAAATCTCTAATGGTCTATGACAGAAATGAGGATCTGGAGGCCCAGACTCTGAGGGCTATAAACTTAAGGGATCATAAATAAAAATGGTGTGCAAAAACACAATAAAGTCCATTTAAAAGTGTGACTAATGCCGTCTTTTGCACAAACTCTGGCAACAGTGGGAGTGACACAGCACCCTCCATGGAGAGACACATACAATTCATGTTCTGACAAAAGAAAGCAAAGTAGAAAAAATAATCATTTGTATGATTAGTGAAGAAGGTGAAAGAGATCATCTGGGGAGGCATTAAAAATAAAATAAAAAAAATTTTATTCCCCATGTGCGAATTGTTGGACTGGATAGAACAATTAGGTGGAACTTCACCCAAAACATGCGAGTGGGCAGAAGGTGCCAGGGGCTACATCTGTGCTTGTGGGAGACTGCGAATGTGCTTTTACAGAGGTGTAGATGTGTGTGAACTCTCACCGCCTGTTCTCACGGCTGTTGCTGAACAGCTTGATCATGTCAGACAGGAAGAGGCGACGGACCTCCATCAGGTCGGTGCTAGGGGTGGAGTTCTTCAGCAGGGTGGCCACAACCTTTAGGATCACTGGTATGAGATGAACACAAGCAGCCAGGACCTCTAGTTACTAACCCAGGCCTCCAACAGCTTCTCACACAAGGTGAGGGGTGCAACAGAGCTGATCATCCAACCAGAGGATCACTGGCTCAAATTGCAAAGCCCTACTGCTACTCGAGCAAGTCACCCCAAAGTTTTCAGTAAGAAGACCTAGCATTGCTAATTTAAAAACTGCATGATTGCTTTAACTGTAAGTCTCTCTGGATGACATCATCAGGAAATAACTAAATTAGACTGATAAAGAGATAAACAGAGGAATTCCACACAAGTGTGAACAGAAAGAAGTGAAGAGCCACCTATTATGTGGCCTGTTCCATTTAAAGTGGACCCCCACGATGCTGTGTGCATATGAGAGAAAAGGACAGAGAGAAGGATTGCAGGGAGGGAAGGAGAGAAAAGGGAGGGAAAGAGACAGAGAGGGAGAGGAAGAGAGAGAGAGGGAGAGAAAGAGAGAGACAGACAAAGATCAAGAGAGTAAGAGAGGGAGGAGGGGAGAGAAAGACAGAGAGAAAGAAACAGAGCGAGAGAGACAGAGGGAGAGAGAGAGAGAGAGAGAGAGAGAAGTTAGAGAGGGAGAAAAATAGAAAGACAAAGGAGAGAGGGAGAGACAGAGAGCGAAAGAGACAGACAGATGGGGGGGGGGGTGATTGTGAACTGAGGTTGACCTCAGCTTGAGGAAGGAACGCACTTGGGTTCTGGATCTTCACAGTGGAGTCGGGTTCCGGATGCGGCTTGTGGACTACCTGGGTACACACCTGCTCTGTAAGAATCTGTGGGAAGGGCACGTGGGGGACACAAAGCAGGTGACAAATCTGCATGCAAACACAACAAGCAGTTTCACCTTGAATGTTGGCAAATGCTGCAATTATAACAAAAACTGCAATAACATCATTCATATTTAAAAGGCTATCAATGGCATTCACTGAAAGCTTTACTGTCAGTCATCACAAAGCAGGAGAGATTTTGTGTCACTAAGGCTGCAAGCACCTCAAACCCCACCTTTCGTTAGACAGAACCTTCCAGTTCTGTGGTCCTGGTGACAGCAGCAGCAACAGCAACAAAGAACAGCGCAGATTGTGGCCCATACCTCATAGAGCGTGTTGTAGGTGGTGACGGAGACCGTGTTGGTGTGCATCATCAGGCGCTCACCCAGAAGGGTGAAGAGGCTGTGGGTGTGCATGATCTCCACCTTCCTCCTGTGGGAGTGGTGGAAATGCGAGGAGGGGGACAGCATTTCAGAAACCGGGGAACGGTCTAAACACGAGACTGAAAATCTACGTTGGGGGGGGGGGGGCGCTGTCAGACGGGGTTTACCCGCTTCCCATCAGCCACTTGGAGCTGTGCAGTGACTGGCAGCACACAGAAACCTCCCATCAGGACTAAAATAAAGTCACTCTGGGTCTCAACATCTGACCCAGTGGTCTCCAACTTTTTCTACAGTGCAAGCTACTTTTACAGGAAACAAATTCTGTGGAGCAACTGAATCACCACAGTATCCCCCTCTCCCTTTGTTAAATGGGGGGGGGGGGGGGGCTGACAGAGTGTGTATTGGTGACTGCTTGGCGACCACTGATCTGTTTCATGCTTGACATACTTATCCCATTTTAATCACATAGTTATTCCATTTTACATTACTATTGTCTTTAGTAAATCCACATTAATTGGAAAAAAACTTCAAACACTCTGCCAAGTCGGATGATAAATACCATCAGTTTGTAGACACTGCAAAGCAATCAAAATAAGGGAGATGGGTTCTGAACCCTGATGGTTTGTATTCTACTAAAGTCCCAAATTGGGTTCCAGGCACAAAATCACAATGGGTTGTGAGCACAATTGTTTTGTCTGTATAAACAACCGATTGTGCTTTTGAAATCACACACTGATGAAGGAATGTCGTCGAAACATTTGTACGTGGAACCCACACTAGTAAAATACAAACCAGAGTTTGGACCTCATCCCCATTATTATGTAAATCCACATTAATACACAAGGTGGCATAGTGGTTAAAGTCACTTATCCCAAAATGATATTGGTCTCTAAGTATTTAACCTAGTTTTCTTCCCTGAACACAAGGGCTATAAAAAATGTGTAAAACTGAGTGAAGGTAGCTGCTCTGGATCATGGTTCTTCATATTTGTCACTTTGTATCGCAGCCACACTCACACAGGCCTGCTATTATCCAACCCTCCATCTTCCAACTGCGTGTCCTGAGCAGCGTCACAGAAGCACACACTGTTATAAATGAGTAAATTAGCCCAATTATAGAGATAATGAGTTCATTCCCTAAGACTGGAGGTCAAAGTATCAGGTAGTGTCAGCTATCAAAAAAACAATTTTGAGCCTTTGCGAACCTCATTCTGAGAAGAACAGGAGAGTAACGATAACACTAGAGCTCACTGTTCATTTGGCGATGCTGCCGTTTTGGACGGCAATTCGACCAGCAGGAACTGAACCCGTAAAAAAAAAAAAAAAAACAAAAAAAAAACTTATTGCAATCGCTATCATGATCCATTATTCACTCATTCATTCTATTTATGTACAGCTCTGCTGCTCCTGTCATTGCCTGAATGCTAAAATTGTACCATTGTTTACATTACCATGGTGCGTTAACTTTGTCATACCTTGATTTTTTTCTGCACTCACTTTGTCTATTCTTGCACTTTATGTATGTGTGTAGCAGCGCAGTTTTGTGGGAACGTTATTTCACGTCACTGTATGTTGTGTTACTGTATATGGTTGACGTGTCGATGAAGCCCTTCTTGACTCTTGATTAAAACCGTGCAGTCATCCCTTCCAAGGAAGGCAGAAGGAGCAAGTGCTCCTACGCTTGCAGGACAAGGCAGCAGTTCAGGCAGCCCCTTCCCTGCAGGCCAGGCTGCCTTGCCTCGTCTTTCCAAGCGAGTGGCCACAGAGCCCATCTCAGCCGTACACTGCTAGGTCGGGAAGAACTCGAACGGCGTTGCCATCGGCGACAACAAACCGTCCGCCTGTCAGCGTGAAAGTAGGCCGACAGTGCCGGGAAACCTGGGGGAAGGCATTTAGCGATGTGTCGTCCCAGTCCGTAAATAAAAACAACGCCGCCGTTACAGCGGGCTTCCCGCGGAGTGGGAAACCCAGATCTCTTTGCGCTTTCCAAATTCAGCCTTTCCGTTTGCCTTTTGGATCATTAAAAGGACAGCGTGTTGGCAGATCGTCACCAATAGGGGGCCTTTCACATACACACACACACACACAAGCACAAATGTACACACTACTGCCTGGAAATGGGCATTTTGCTAAAGCACCGCTCACAGATAATCTGAAGCCATCATGCGCTGGCTGATTTCGCATTGCAGAAACAATGTTATCTGACCTGTATTCATGTCAGAATGGCTAATTAACTACAGTATACTAACTGATGAAGCTGATGCATCACAGCACAGAATACAGTTCAAGGCAGCTGTTGTACCATCTAACTGCAAGCAGTCTGTGGTTATAATGTTTCAACAATAAGTTTATAACACATGTGATGTTTCATGTGATAAAACTAAATATATTCTTTGCAACTAGCTCAGTAGATGTGATGAAGTCAGACCCCAGCTTCTGTGCCAATTGCATGTCTGGAACAGTGGTTCAGGTGCTTATCATGTTACCCTGGCCACCTCTGTCGTCCCCCCCCAAAAAAAACAGGAAACAAACTGCTGACATTGCCTGCACAAAAAACATGCTGCCAGATTCACACTACTCTATTTGTAGCCTGTTTACTTACTTTGCATATTTTTTTTTGTTTTTGTTGCTCTTTGAAGTGCTTTCAATGCAAATTTCATTGAAAAATAGGAAGTTGTGTACAGATATGATTAGGATCCCCACGTATGACAGCAATGAAGGCCGTGTGACACTGAGACAATGGCAGTCTTACAGCATGGGACTGAAGACTGGGGGGGAACGACACACTCACTTGTGACCCAGGTGTTTGAGGAAGTAGCCGAGGACTTTAAGTGCCTGGACCCGAATACTCTCACTCTTAGAGGCCAGAAGCTTGTACACAACCCTGGAGAACAGACACACAGAAACCACATATCAAGCAGGTCTGCCTGGTATTATATTCTACATATACTTGTATTTCATATTTCATAAACACACACAAACAAACGTATACACATATATGCATCAAATATAAAACAGAAGTATGTGTGTATGTATAGATGTATGAATATATATCCTTCTTTTTGCACCCACCGTATCCCATTCCTCTGGTCGAAGGCAGGGATCATGGACGTGGGATGTTCAGACATGAGCGCGACTAAGAGCTGCAGCACGTCATGGATGTTCTCGTCCTGCGGGTCGCCAAAAGAGGTCAAGCACTACACCACTGATAAAGGGCAGCGGGGGGGGCTATTTCTGGGAAAACCAGGGGATGATCAGGGTTTCTTGGCAGACTTGTACCCCCCCCCCCCAAAAAAAAACATCAATCAGGACTATACAGACTCAGTTGCTTGACAAATCAGGCTCTGTGTTGAAAACAAGCAACCCAGTGAGAAACATCTTCAAGCACATGTCGTCGCGGTGCACTTACCTCGTGCATGGTTAACAGGTAGTTGAGGATGCTCTGCAGTTCGTCCTCCTTCACGCCTCGATCCTGCCAAACATTTAAGAAATTCTCCACCAGGTCTTTACATACACCGTGTGCCATACATGCGTCTTTAAGAAGGATTCCGTACTACCAAGAAAACACTGATTTCCTAAGATACTAAGGTTTACCACTGCTCATTCACCATTTAAGTAAAATAGCACCTGTATTTTAAAAAGTCTTTATGTCCCTTCACATTAGTCTTATGTTATTTTTCTTTGTGTAAATGGTTATTACAGCAAACGTCATATTTAACGATCTGATCGACAAGGGAAAAGAGAGCAGAGGGTAACGCTTGTTAGGGTCCAGACTCATGATGTGATTTGGCACTGAAATGTGTTTACATTTCAGCATTTAAAAGCACATTATCTCCAGCATGCCCCCAGGCGGCCCACGTATCTCTGTCATGTGACAAGTTGGGGTTTGGGGGGGGGGGGGGGGGGAGGTTAGGAGCAGCCCACGCTGGGAATTCAGTCTTGTTTAAGAAAAAACAAGATGCTAAGCAACCAACATTGTGCCTTTCAAAAAAGGATAAAACAGCACAATAGGCCCTGGTGAAAATAAATGTCTTGGACAATGACCCACAGAACAAACAAGACAAAAAACATAAATGGGGGGGGGGGGGCAAATGGTACAGCAATTGTTCCCCATAAACGTTTAAGTTCACTGGATAAAAACAAAGACAAAGACAAACAGGCAATAAGCAATAACATAGGAAAGCATGAGAGAGATTGTGGAGGCCTACCTTCAGGATGAGCTGTTTGAGGAAGAGCAGCATAAAGGCTCGCAGTGATATGATCTCTTTCTGTGAAGGTCGTGGTCCACCTGCAAGGACACACTGGGTTAGACAACAGGGGGCGCTCTGCCTGCCCAACACCTGCACAGAAGACCTAAATTCAATTCAAGGTCAAATAAACCAGGATGCAAGACCCCTGACAGCTCTTCTGATGTGGGTGCTACATTTGCCAAAACCTACTCTGAGATCTGTTGCCCCGTGCCCCCAACAAAGGAATGCATCAATGACATCTATTGAGCCATTGAAATTCCAGCAGAGTTCCATTTGGAATGCTCAGACGTATCCAAGCAGAGTTGGGGAAAACAGCATCACCCTCGTCAGAGCCACAAGCTTCCCTCCGCATCTTCTTGACGTGTCATCCCGGTCACTGGCGGTCAACCGATTACGCGACATGGGCGGCTACCTAGGGCGCCATCTTCTGAAGGGGCACCACCCTAGCAAGTCAATTCCACTTTGTCTTACATGGGGGGCGCTGTTGGTGAAGCTTGCCTAAAGCGCCACATGCTTCAGTACTGGTTCCGGATCCATTTTAAGACCGTGTGAAGCGGAACTCGGTCCCGTTACTGTGTCATAATTAGCCAGAACACTAGCCTACTTCTGTTCCATTCCTGTTCTCCATGAAATGCAGTCTGAAACTACAAAGACTCTATTAACATCCTTTGATAGTCAGTTAATTTAGATACAGAATATAGAATGTAACACAGTAATGTAATAATACAGCTATTATTACCATTTTAAGTTTTACTTTTGAGGAGCAATTTCAAGGCATAAAAGCAAAGGAAGCTGCAATCAGAAAGTCGCCGGTTTGAATTCAATGGGGGAGGGCAGCTGATCCCACACCCAAAGCCATCTACTCACAAAGAAAATAATCAAATACATTAGACCGGTCTTTGCAAAAGGTGGAAGACACTATTGCACAGTTCTGATGAAACCTACTCAGGGAGGCCAAGCCAAAAAAAAAAAAAACACACACACACAGGCTTGCTCCCCCATGGCTTTTGCTAATTATCCACATTCATTAAGCTGACGGAATGATCAGGCCATTGAGATGCATGGCGTGACCTTGCACGAGTCTCCTTTCCACACACGATAGCTGCTGTGTCGAGCTGTTTGGATAGATGAGGAATAAAGTGGCTTCTGATGGCCTATCAACAAAAATAAAAATCATAACAATAAACACACTCCGCCTGCCCCTGTCCTTGTTAAAACATACCTGTACCCATACATGTGCGTGCGAGTGTCTGTCTGTCTCTGTGTGAGAGCAGGGTAATTTGAATGATGCATGGCTTTAATTCAAAACCATTCTCCAGAGTTGTACTATTTGAAAGGTACAGAACATGTTACACAAATTGATATAATGGAGGCTGCTCCCTTAAAAATGCCTCACCATGATCACTTATTAATTTATTTTTTTCTATAATTGAACACTTCATTAAACCTCTTCTCGCTCCGCTCTTTCACTGGCTCATGGACAAATCCTCCATTCTTGAGACAAAAAGAGGAAATGCATTGGGGGGGGGAGGAGGGGGGAGAGACAACGCATATGTTCAAAACAGCTAGGCTAGGAATAGCACATAGGCGCGCAGAATCCAAGAGAGCTGACTGTCACAGATTTAAAGACCTATCACGCCATCGCCCACCTTCCTAAGCTGAGAGTAACAACCCATCCAGTTTCCATCAAACACGGGTGAGCATCCCATAGACTCGGTGGAAGCTTCCAGGATATTCATGTGCATGTGTGACAGCTGGTGTGGATGCTGTAAATCGTCCCTTATCGGTGTGCCTGTTCTGCGCGTGTACAGACAATTGCCAGAGCAAAATCCCTCGCAAATGTGTGTTACTACGGCAGCGCACGAGCCAAACAAACCACACCACCTGCTATAAAATGGCTCCTTTAGCATAAAACTGGCATTCTGATGGTTCGAGAGAAGTCGGACGACAAGGATCAGAGGGGCTCCCATACGACTGATATGCACCAGTCAGACCGAAGTCGCACGTGACATGGTGCCAAAATCAAGCAGCCCGATGGCAGGATCGGATGTTATGTGATTTCTCCATTATAGTCGCTGCCCCCAGCAAGCCGCATAATGCAGTGTGTAAATAAAACGGAATGCAATGGAAAATAAACTTCACATTGAGGCCTTTTGATCTCGTAAAGGATCAGAGGTCAGACAAAAGAGCTATATGGTTGGAAATCGCACTGGGGGAATCATGGCAATGCTCTGACTCAATCGTCGATCATTAGCACCGTACATCCTTCCACCAGACTGCGCACGAGAGAATGCAAATGAGTTTTGTATTCCACAGGTTCCCATGACGTCATGGGATAGATGAGCAGTTGAAGCATGTTTCCTGGTCATAAAGATGCTGTGGAAGAGGGGTGACCTGAGTATGGTTCTCAAGCAGCATGGTACCAAAGTAATACATCCTTCTGGAAAGAAGGGCATCCCAGTTCACCCTACAGAAGCCAGAAAAACTTGGCACGCAACCTGTAAGGAAACCACTTTTGGCCAAGACACCATCCTTTCAATTTAAAGTCTTTCTACCACCTTTTGCACCAGAAGATATCTGATTCGTTGGTCCTGCCTCCTCTAGTTTGCTTGGACCCACCTCCTGTACAATCTGATTGGTTATCTCTCGGAACCAATAATTTTTCCTTCTGCGTTCAGAACATTTATGTGCAAGTAAAACTCCTATGAGCCAAAAACTACTCACAGATTCCAGTTCCAATCCCACACACCAGTCAATTTTGATTTTCAGCTACTATGCCTATTATTATGAGCCCCATGGAAAGATTTCCCCCAGGGTCATACTTCCTCCCTGCGGCAGGCGATTTCCACGGGTGTGGAATTCAACTTCAACATTGACCTTTTACCCACTGTCGCCCGGGAGGCATTGTTAGCGATGGCTTACGTGAACAAGAGCGTTGTCAACAGTAATCTGGCAGACAGTGAGGCCATCAACAACCCGGAACGTGCCTTATCACCAACAGCAGCCTTTTAGTGGTCCGATTTACTGTGGCTCAAGCACGTCAATCAAAATGATCTTCGCGGTAACTGCCTCTGACTTTGCTGAAGGCAGAAGGAATTTTTCACCCCTTCGCATTACGGTCATAGCAAATACAGATTAATGTTTATATTTTCTCTGTGTCGACCGAGAATTGCTAAACCGACTGACCGAGGCAGGATAAGGCATACAGATGCATTTCTGCAGCCACCAACAAGTACACAGACACACACGGACATACACACATCTTTTCACTCATACATCGAAGTGTGTCCATCAACAGAGCCACTTGCTGCAGTCCGTCAAGATTCTGCCACCCACTGTTTCACGCCAAAGGAGGTAACGACAATCAGATCAAGAGCCTAGTTTATTCAAACTGACCAATTAGAACTGTGTCCAAAGAGGAAGATGGTACAGTCCCCAAGGTCAGGGCCTTCTGCCAAACCAGAGGGGTGCTAAACACTCACCCAGGCCCTTGGGCGTGATGCCACTGCTATCCAGCGGGTTGACAGCCCAGTAGTAGTACTTCAGTGTGTGCATGAGCTGCAGAACAGTGCCCACCCGGCGGATGGTGGAGTAGATGGTGGCTGTACCAATGAACTCCGCAGAGAGGTAGGTATACAGAGATAGCTGGACCTGAGGGATGGAGAAGCAGTGAAAACACACACAGGGACAAGATACAGACATTCAAGGACATCAATTACACAAGAAACGATATAAATAGCAATTAAGATGGCTTCTTCACACCATCAGGCCATATCTGTGAATTACGAAGAAACTGCCTGATCTGAGAAGATCATTATCAGCTTGCCAATTAGCACATCCATCATAGCTAGGCCACTTTTAACTTCGCTCGTAGGTTGGTGAAATGTCAGCCTCGCGCAATTAAACTCTGCGTGATATCAGGAAATGCCCGTGCCCGGGCAGGACTCTGCTGAAACTCTGCATTATACAGATTCCAGCGACGCCAGGATGCTAACAGATATACTTGGACACAGTGTGAGCACCAGAAACAATGTCTGAACATTGTACTGGACCCAAAGATATTGGCTGTAGTCATACTTGAACCCTAACAGCACCTGCCGATGGGTCCTTATTTATTCTAGATATGCCCGAACATTACCGACCAACACCAGATGGATTCAGCCTAACACTGTTTAACCCACTTGCACCTGGACTGCAAGCAGTACAAGGTGGAGGCTGACGGCTCAGGCTACAGATCTTCACCTTGGCCGGCGTATGGATCCAGATGGCAGCGTTGAATAAGATGTGGTCGCATAGTTGCTTTAGCAGGGGCGCCCCATGGGTCAGGCCATCCAGGTATTTGGCGAAGGACAGGAACTGCTCTAGAACCGCCCTGGTGATGTGGACCCTTGACGACTAGAGGGCCAAGTCGTCAGAGAAGTCAGGAAAACAGGAAGTCAAACAACCGATCACTGTTCCTACCAGGTGTGCCATCCGCATAATTCAACATGCAATGTGTCCCTGTTTAGTAGAGTACCTTCTCCAGTAGATAGCCGATCACCAGGAAGCCCTTTCCTCCCAGCATCTGCTCCTGCATCGCCACGGAGCTTTTCAGCAGCTCCATTAGGAAGGCTAGGAGTGTGGCACTGCAGAGCATGCACAGGTGTATACACACACACACACACACAGGTTTGTAATTACATCTTTGCAGGAACTCTCCATTGGGGAAAACTCTAATCACAACATGACGACCTTAAACTCTACCCAGCCTTAACCCTAACCTTCCGTAACAAAATAAAACTTGAGACTTTTGACATTTTTACTTTTTTGATTGCGTTCCCAGATCTCTATGGGGACCTGAAAAATGGTCCCCACAACGTAAAAAAAAGCAGGTTTTTATTACATTGTTGGGGGCACTCACACAAACACTCTAAATCGACCATCATATTCTTAATCACCAGTACAAAAAGAAAAATAAATAAAAGCTCTGAAGAATTTCAAAAATAGAAATATTAACTGACTCAAACATAACCGATGAATAAAAAGCAAAATCAATGTAAAAATTTTTAAGTGTGAAAGCAAAGAATCAACTGAACAAACTGGAAAGTGAAAAATAGAGTACTAAAACACCGTTCTTATACACAGTCATAGAGAAATTTAATACTTATTACCCACTGTTAGTCTGTAAAGAATTTATAATAACCACAATTAAAAATTTCTTTGGGGGAAACTAAATGGTTTTTCTGTTTGATGCCAAGGCAGTGATTTTAATTAGGCGCACTTTGGTCTTAAATATTTAGATCAAAAGTGTTTGTTTTACAAAGCAAACACACTCGATCCTCTAATACGAGTAGTACCCTTCCTATTACCGAAAATTAGAATCATGAATTTACTTTTTAGGCCTGACATGAGACAAATATCAAAACATACTTTACAGCATTCTCTTGATACAGCTCTTGTACAACCACTTCTTTTCTTCCGATCAAAAAACAGACCACTTGTCTTTAAGGATGGGAAATCTGCCTTTCATTTCATAGAGCTCCCTGGCACCATTCGGGGCCCGCAGCTCAATTGAGAGAACGTACAAAATTGCTCCCACTAGGGCTACAATGCAGCAACAGTCCAAACAGGACAGCAGGACAAATGGGCACCAGAGAACTACCCAAACCCACTAGGGTGGCTAGTATACTGGGGCACTCCCTTATTTCATTATCAGCCAGCAGCACTGTGGTGGGGGGTAGGATGGATTTATTCCATGGTAGAGCTGCCATTCCCATGGGTCCATCAAGAATTTCAGACTGAAGAAGAGAGCGATACAACTGCTTCGCAAAACCCTTAAATCCCACCAACTGTCTCTGATCACCCCATCCACAGTCTGCAAAAACCCCTCCCCACCCTCTGGTCCGTCACTTCAGAAAAAAGCCCTTCACAGACACTGCAGAGTCTTTGTGCGGCATTCTGTGCTTATCATCTTCCCCTGAGGTTCACAGAGAAAAGCTCTCCCAAAAATCAGAAAGCCACCTTCTCAATGCATATCCTCCAGTGGGTTCAGGGGCCTATAAGGCCTGTCCATTTGTGGGACTGCACACATCTTTCCTGCCAGATCATTCAGCTGTGCAGCACAAGCCAAATCTGTACCTGACCATACCCCATACTCCAAGGGTCTTCAGACTCTCATTACAAACAGGCACATGGCACAAACAGGGATGAGTGAGCCCTAGAGATGGAATGCAGACACGGAATACATCTGCCTCACAACTGGATCCAAGATAGTATCCTGAACAGGTGTGCACCATACAGACAATAGTGATGCTTCCATTATCATTTTTTTGCATTTCGAAGATGCAAACTGAAAAAACATTAATGGAAACACTCAGATTCCAAAGAAGCACTCAGATAATGTGGGGGAAAAATCATACGTTGGCTTGAGGTGGTTTTTGGAGTCAAGAAAGAAGTAATTTGGAATTTGCGAATTAGTACATATGTAGCACATGACATTGAGTGTTTGACTTAGGTACTAACTTGAGGAAAGCCCACTCCACGTTAAAGTACGAGACATGGATCTTAGCAGGATGACCAATAGCAAGCACAATTCACATGATATTCAATAGAATCACACCCTAGTCACAATTTAACGATGTTGACTTTTTGCTTATAATTTGCATGAAATTTGCCTATAATTTGCACAAAACTTTAATGGAACATGGCTTATGATACCCTAACATCTCACCCACTTGTCTCCATGTTGCAAGCCAGTACACAAAAGTCAGAACTGGCTAATTGACCAAAGTTCCCCTGAAATCACTATATATCTATTACCAGCAAGTTTCTCTTTAACTGAATGATGCTATGGGCGGCAGAACCTCAGTGACGTTCTGAGCTGTTGTGCTTTTCTTTTAGGCATAGTAACTCACCACACAGTGGTCTCCACTTGGCTGTCGTTCTGCTGGCGGTAATCCAGCTGGGCAAAGAGTGGGAAGAGCACCTGGATGCCGCCAATGGAATGAATGGCACTGTGGATGGAATGGGTCACTATGGCCTTCACATCCTACCAGGAGAGAAGGCAAAGGGAGGTTAGGCCAGAAATGCACAGAGCGAAACCAACCATCATTGTCCAGCAGCCTGATTCCTATCACCCTTTCAGTTAAAAGGAAATAAATAATAATAATAATAATAATAATAATAATAATAATAATAATAATAATCTACCCTTTATTGTCCCTGTGGGGAAATTCATTTTTATGCCTCCCTCAATTTGCTCTTTGTAGAGTAAGCTGTCCGTAAAGGGCAGCAACCTGTTGGGGTGCTCAGGAAGCTGGGGGTTAAGGGCCTTGCTCAAGTGCAGACGTGCTGAGGCTGAGTTTGAACTGGCACACAGGCTTAGCCCACTGAGCCACACGCTGCCCCCACCCAATAAATAAATAAATAAATAAAAATAATTGTAATAAAAATAAATAAATATATACACACACAAACATATAAATATAAATAACAGCCATCCAGAAACACAGCAAAACCCATGTGAGGAGAATCATCCAGGATTTGGATAAGACAGCTCTGTCATATGGGAAAAAGACTATACCTTAAATCAGTTTTAGACTGCCTTAAATAATGAAAAACTAAAATCAAACTGACCTGTAGCATGAGGGCATGGGGCGAGTGCACGAAGATGGAAGGATTCTCCTTGGGCGAGGACTCCAGGCAGAGCTGGGCATCGGTGGCCTTGGCATTGTAGGTGAAGGAGATGCTGCTGGCCAGCTTGCCGTCATACAGAACCTGCTTGTGGTGCTCGGCCAAGTGGATGTCGCTCTCCGACTTGAATTTGAAGGTGCTCTGGAGAAGGAGGAGAGGCAATGCATAAAGGGGTTGAGACAAATGGTTGAGACAACCATGGGGCTCCCAACCTAAGGAACTATGGAAGAAAGGAGAGAGGGCCAATTGGCTCATGAAGCCAAAATGCATGCTGACCAACAAATAGGCTGAGTTGAGTACAAAACATCACCAATAACCTAAACCATGTAGACCGTCTTCATCGCATGTATGCCCACATTCTCCCAATGACAATGCCAAGGAACCCCAATGATTACGATTATCTCAGGCATTCATTTAAAAAAAAAAAAGACCTTTGTCCAAACATTTTTCAGCTCAACCTTGATTTTTATTCATTGATTCCTGAGTCCACCGGCTATTAATAATCAAAGACTTAAGAAAACTTGTCAGCCCTGAATCTCTGACCCATTATTGAATTAACTCTTCCACTGGCATCATGTTAATTAAGATAAAGTAGCATGCATGGCTTGTGAAGGCGGGCTGTAGAGTAATTAGAAATCTGTTTTCTTGGATAAGATGAACAAGACTAACAGCCTGTAGAAGTCTGTAGAATCATTAAAGCCAGCCAATGAATTTCATACCAAAAAAATTAGCGCACAAATCTGAGCTGGTGTAGGCAGCAGCCCAGAAGGTACCGCCCCCCCACGAGAGAAACAGGAAACATCTGCGCTACATACCGCCCACCTCGTTACCTGTTTTACTTCATCTGGGTCCTGCCTGGAGAAGACACTCACCATCTCTTCAACACTCTGATCCATTCCCTGCTACCCTCTTACTCAAATGCTCAATTCCTCAAATGGACCTAAACCACTTCAGAATGGATTTACCTCAGCTGCCAACCATCTTACTTTGATCTGAACAGGTGGATATTTATTTCAAGAGAGACATTCAAGTCCAGATGGTCCACAATTTTGCTCCCTCACAACTCCCAGCCAGACAGCCCACATTTTTGCTCCCTCACAACTCCCGGCCAGACAGCCCACATTTTTGCTCCCTCACAACTCCCGGCCAGACAGCCCACATTTTTGCTCCCTCCCATTGCCTGGTAGGAGCAGGGTGTCTGGGGGGTCCCCGAGGAGCAGGTTGAGAAACACCAGCATAAACCACCACTAAGCCCTGTCATCTCCACTGTGAAATTATATTTGTGAAGCTACAAGATGAGGATTTATGTTTGTCCCGCACTTCACTTCAATGTTAGAATCGGGGCATACATCTCAAAATTCTTTCGACATTCTTGTCTATTTCATATACAACTTACAGAATGGCAACTAAAGCAAAGAAAATCCTGAAGGGAATGAACTCACAGTACCAATCATCGTTACAAAGTTTGGCTTTTTATTTTCCATGTAGGAGTCCTATCATGTTTATCCATTCTAAAAACTCAATATTCAGCTTATGAAAAAAACACCCATGCCTTGATGCTGACAGACATTTATATGATAATGAACAGCTCTGGTAGTTTTGGAGCACATGCCGAAAAAAGCATTTAAAAAAAAAAAAATATATGACCCTGGGGCCCAGAATTAACCAACCCCCTACGGGAAGAGCATTAAAGTCCCTCGAATATGCAGACAAACCAAAGCCAGTCAGCTCTGGCTCTGCATCTTTGCTTCTAAGCAGTCTTTCCAGCTCCCTCAGTATCTGGAACTGGCCGTCAAGTATACCCACACGGGTCACAAGTACAGGAAATGCCCATGCTGCAGTGGGGCCTGCAGGCTGTTATTCACCTCAAGCATTTCACCCCATGTTTAATTTATTATTTTTTTTTAAATCACAGCGCATTGTTATGGGCATTTAGGGGGAGCTTTATTTCATGTTGTTTCGCATATTTTATGTTATCTGCGTGAAATTCAGCCCAAAACCGGAAAATATTCACAGCTAATTTCAGGTGCGCTAATCCCTAAACGAGACCTCCAGGAGGATATTACAGTCAAGTGGAAAATGCTGGCAGAGATGACTGGGGCTGGTGCTTGTAAAATGAAGCCATGTTATATTAAAAAAGAAGCCCATTACAGCCCAAAAGCTTATAGACTCACGGGTTACGCCTGCAACTTAAATGGTATTTGCAGCAGCCAAGAGCATAATGATGCTCTTGACCTGCTCCTGTAACACGGTGCCATTATCTTACTTTTGAGATTCTTAACCTCCTCCCCCCCCCCCAACCTTGAGTAACTTGACCCCGGAGTGGGGGCAGGAAGGGACAAAACTGCTTTTGCCGGTCCACCATTCCCACCCACCCCAGCACAGTGATAACAGTGCACAGTGAGTCATCGCACCACTTCTGTTGACACACTCTGAAGCAGCATTCATGTTACGCGATTCATGTAAGACACCTTCCACCTTCGTCAATGATATTTCCCAATGACCGCTGCAATGCTCGCTCACAGCGACGTGAAGAACGGCCTCAATGACCCCAGGAGAGATACCATGTGTCTTCTGTCAAGGAGGGTAAGGTAGAGTGAATAGCAATAGGGAAGGGTATTAAAATCCATATGTTTATACATCTCTGACACCTGGATTACTCTGGTTTTGGCTGGTTCCTTGATAGAGCCTTGGAGATTCACTGACAGAGACAAAGTGCAACATAAATCGTGGCTGACAGGTAAGCTTGGAGACGCCCACATTTGAAGGCGCCCCATGTTTGCAAATGGCTGCTACCTTTTCGCCGTTGTTTATCCATAGGAAACCTGACGGGCGAACATAAATCTGCCCCACTCCCAGTGTTATCTCTGCCCCCCACCAAACACACAACACTGACATTCTTAGGGAGAACAGTAACCTTGGGCATTGGGACAATACAGCACCAGTCAGAAGTACATGTCTTCGATGGTAGTTCCCAGTGATGCGAGCTATTTGTGGGTTGCTTTGTTGCTTTGGATGTGCAGATTGATACAAAAACATTGATTCTTTCGATCTCAATGTTTCATTTCGAGAATTGATTCTTTCCTCTTTTTTTTTACTTGCTTAGTGAAAGGGAAATACATATAATAAGTGAAAGCTAAGTGAAATACATATAATACTTTAGGGAGCAGGACGTGAACTACTGCCAGACAGGGCCACCCATAAGAGAGGAGAAAAGTGAAGAGGCCATGCCGGGGCCATTAGTGAGCAGATACTAGTGAATAGGGAAAAAGACTGAACAGACGCCCCCACCGCCCACCCCCCCACTCTGCAAATTTCATCAGCCCCCCGCTCAGTGAATTCTGCTGTCAGGTTTGGGCCAGCACCAAATATCAGTAAGAGGTATTGGATGAAATGGAAAAGAAAATCAGTGGTATCACCAGTCCCTATAACTTTGCTTTGACTCTTCTGTCCAGTTCATTCCACACAAGTTGAAAGTGAAATTAAACTCTAACTCATTAGACCAGAAGAATGTGCAGATTAAAGCATAGATTATGATTCCAAGCAGGTGTACTCAAACTATTGACAGGTACCCTGGCATGTTCCTTTGGTTTCCATCCCAGAAGCCGCATGCTGCCTTTCTGTGGGCTCAATTTAGCTGAGAAACACAACCCCCTTTGCAAATATCCAGCACTAGGATATTTCCAGACCTACCAACCAGAAGGACCCCCACACAGCAAGCACATGACAAAGACAATTAAGACAAACACACTGCTGGCTATGCGCACCAAGATGAGGCACTCTCCAGAACATCTGGATGTTTCTGAATGAATAATGAAGGGGTCTTTCCTAAAATATCCTATATTTAGTAGGAGTTCCACTCACAGCAAGAACAAGAGGGCCAGTGCATCTCTTATCACACAGTCCATCAATTTCAGTTTTTGCAGCTGTATTCAGTGTAAAGTGAAACCTCCCAAAATATATGTTGGTTATTTCCTTACATTATTGCAAGACTCAGTATATTTAGCATATAAATTACACAATGCATTTTGACACAAACTGGTGTATCACATGATAACAGCAGATGTTCTACAACCTTCGATTCCATGTCATTATGTTACGCAGTATCATGCTGTATTAAACAATTAAAAAACATGAATTTCAAATGCAATGGACAGCAACATTTTTTTTACCAGTGAGGCCAAGAAAAACAGGCAGTGATCACAGAACAAACAGTATGAAAGAAACGTAAAGAGCAAAATTTCTCCCAAACAGATGGTTTATTACTTCCCTGTTAGAAATTTACAATGGAAGTGAGTTCGCTGAGGTCATCGGGGCATTAAAGTCAACCATATGAGACAGGATCCGGAAAACTAGGAGCTACATCCCCACAATGCATTAGGAGGGTTGTTCTGTGGTTGCCATAGACCCCAGAGCTGTGGTCAGTGGTCTGTAAATAATCCAAATTCAGGACCCAACGAGCCATATACAGTAGGCATGATGTTCGCCATTTGCGTTAGGCAGATAACGATTCCCTGAATTAACGACAAACCCAAATTAACTAGCACTACAGGTCCTGAGGTGCTGATACCAGAGTGGAATTTCTACGTTAGCATACTAACCACATGGGCTAAATTCTGTCCTGCCAAACAAATTATGTGTCACAAAAATTAAACCAAGAGATGCTACAATGCCAGCCTTGGAATCTAAAATTAAAACATTTACGTCTATCCCTGATGTATGGAGAGTAGAAAGACACAAAGACAGCAGAAGATAATGTAGCTGAGAGCCACAGCACAGCTAATAACATTACCTACTTGATACGGGATGCCGTATATAGCTTTTGCGTGCACAGTCGCGTCATCTGTGAGCCCTGAAAAGTTATGCCTTATGAAAGCATTAAACAAAATAACACCCCCTCTCCCCAATTGTCATGTGTGTTTGTTCTGCTAAGATAAACGGCAGCTGGCAGAGCATCGAAATGCACCAGATGCACGGCGCTCCAGTCTCCCTCCTGCCTGTGCCCCCCCCCCCTCCCCTCCCCTCTCCCCCTTGGTCCAGCAGCGTGAAAAATGGGGGAGATGGGGGGAAAATCATCTGCTCTCGCTCCCCCTGAAACCAGCAATCCACCACGGCATACAGGCACGAGGTCACTCCACATTATGTGGCTTCCGTCTGTGAGGTCACCCGAGTCGGGTAACTGGGGGCAACAGAGAGAAACTGACACCCCTGTGAGATGGCCCAATCATAAGCCCCACCCCGTGGCCCCCCCAGCAGCACAGCAAAGTGTTTCAGAGCAGCCAAAACGAGGAACGCACGGCAGTGTTTGTGTGTGTGGGTAATATAAGCACCAGCTTCTGATTCCCTCCAAAATGCACTCAAAAGCCATCGCCACCACTCTTCAAATATAATGATGTTTCATAATATACTTTTGTTGCCAAAAGCTGCACCTATCTCCCATCGGAGGTAATTAGTGGGAGGCATTCAGAATAAGGAGAGCGTCAGCGGAATTACTACAATTCTCACAATCTGAATGTTGCACCACCTAACAGAGCCAATGGCACGAGAGACTGATCACAGTCTAACTTCGCGTGGTGCCACAAGAAAATGAATTGGACTTCATCCCATTATTCTAGAAACTACAATAACGTACTGGATAAAATGACTTTAAGACGATTGTAATTGGCACTCAAATCAGCATCCCTCAAAAGATATAGATGATGGTGACAACCAGATTTTAATGGTTAAATAAAGATTACACAAGATGTTGTTTGCAAAATGGTTTCCAACCACCCCCGTCACACCAGGCAGACGCGGCAGGTGGTCGGCCCAAGAGCGTACCTTATACCCAGGTCCCAGCTGATGGATGGCGAAAATCTGGGCGGGATTGAGTGCCTCGCTAAACACATAAATGGCCCCCAGCTGTCCGCAGAACACCCGGTTCGCGTCTGCTGTCTCTGACGATCCTAGGAAGCATTTGTCGTAGCTCTGAAAATCAAAATGGGGAGGAGGGGAACATTCATTTACAATTTATATGGTCGTGAGGAAGTGAAGACCAGAGACCAATCATCAGCAGAAACAGGAAAGGCAAATGGGTACTTTTATTTTATTACAACCAGGTGAAATGAGGTTTCTCCACAGCTTCACCCTCTGTGATAGGGTGAGGAGTACTGGAATCCTTTAGATGATCTGGTGATGGTGGGAGGTTCCTTACATCATTGGTGTTGACGTGCCAGGCCATGTCACCGTAGGAGACAAGCTGACCGTTGACATAGCAGCGGATCTCACTGTTCCTCCAGCGGTTGTAGATGTGAACGATGCTGATCATGTACCACTGGAAAGGAAATGAGACCACAGTTAGCAGCGTCGTCAAAGTTGGTGCCTGATCCTGATGCAGTTGCCAAGATACGTTGGCCTGTACCTGTTCCATGTGTCCATTTGGAGCATTATATACTACATAGCAGGAGGGACAGTGACCAAGTGGACTTCTGATCACTAGATACGCACATGAGTGTAAATTTAGGGGTGGGGGGGGGTTGTAAGTCCCCCAGAAATCAAAACCAGCTAACCATAAAAGATGTCAGACTATCAGCATTTTGACATTTCAATTTTAACAAAGAGGCCAAATAGTTACTGCCCAAATTTCAGGTGCATGGGTCACAAAATATTGCATAATTACTTAATGTGCCCTGAGCGGGAAAAAAAAAATATGTCGGCATAAAAGAGAGACAAACTGCACCAGCAAAGATTAATGGTGCTCGCAAGTCAAAGCTCGCAGACAGAAATGGACACTTAATGGAGTGCTTTCTAAACACCACAAAAGTACAGCTTCAAAAATTACCTAAGCGCTGAATCAATGCTGGTGTGACCCTGTCTGAACAAACACTGTACATGGTGAGCTTCACAAAGTTGGTCGTTTTTGGTGGAGGTGGGGGCCCCACCTACAGAGGCTGAGTAGGGGCATGGATACCATGGCAGATTCAGGGGGAAAAGCACTTTACAGGGGCTTCTGAATATGTAAAATTCTAAATATTAATTATTTAATATTAAATATTAAATAAATATTATTGGGGGGGGGCATTTTCTAGCTATGAGCCTGCCTAGCTACAGCATCAAATGCTGCTGTAAAAATGACAACTAGGGGCCCTGGGCTACCTCCCAGATTAACCCAAGCAGAAGCCTGGCTTACTTGCATCTAAAGCAATGCACAAACTTGCATAACATGGTACAAGGAGCACAAAACTTTGACAACACAGCAATGGATAAACTAATTCACAGAAATGCAAAGGATGCTTATTCGACCCTACAATGTTTCTGCCCCCTGCATATGGCTCTGTGTGTGTGTGTGTGTGTATGTATGTATGTATGTATGTATGTATGTATGTATGTATGTATGTGTATATATATATATATATATATACAGATGTAAAAATATGCATATCAATAACTTGCAAAAACCACAGACAAACTAAGCAAAGTCACACCAACTGTAATTGATTGTTTTTCCCCGAGTGTGCATAATCAATTCACAAATTCACAGAACTCACATTCTCCTCATTTTCACTTCTTAGTTGCCATGAAGGTTAAAAAAAACAAACAAAAAAACATCAAGGAAGGGACCTTTTAAAGCAGCCGTACGGTCTGAAGCTTCGCACACTAAAATTAGCAGCAGAGTATTAATTATAGATCAGACCGCTGAGGGAAGGACACTGCTCGAACCTCGATTTTTGTGTATAAGTAGCTGTGGGATCCAGTGATACCCATCAAAGCATACAAGCATATATACAGACACTAAACGTTCGCAGTGTCAGGCCCACAGACTGACAAAGTAACAAAGGGCAAACTTAAAATCACCGATGATGGAAATGGGATAGGGGAGGAATTAGTGTGTCACTGGTCACTGCCTGGCATGACCCAAAGAGAACTGGCAAACTGACCGAGCAGTGGCATTCAAAGTTATCTTGATCCCCCACTACCCAAACACCCCAAATAAATTGTAATTATTAGTTACATTTTTATACATTTTATTAATATATATTTAATACCATCATGCAATGTATCCATATTTTTCTTAAGGTTGCAATTTCAAAATTCAAACCTCAGTTTTTTTTGTTTTTTTTTTCTCCTCTCACCAGTCCCCCCTCCCGCTAGCAATTCCATCATACGTCACCCATGCTTTAAGCATTGGGGTGGGGGGGTTGAGGTCTCCATCCATTTAAGGGGAACCAGGGGGTTGTATTGGCTGGTTCTGAATATTTGTGGAGGTTACAGATATTAACCTAATAGATATTAAGTGCATTTCAAGGCTTCAAAGAACAAATTTAAATATAATGTATAAGCCCCCCCCCACTCTATTCAAAGCAGCTCCAGCTCAGGTTCCATGACAACTAGGTAAACATACTGTAAAGTGTAATAATGGAGGCTAAGGAAACAACTGCTTTGTGCAACCTCTTTGGGGGGGGGGCTTATACAGGGCCATAGAATCAGCAAACCGAATATACAGAAATCAAATGGTCCCCCCCTGCCTCCCCATGTGGATCAGGCTGCCACTCCCATAAAGAGTAACCCAGTCTCAGTGTCCGTGGTCAACCGCTGGCTGGGCACCAACCCTGCCATCAATTTAAGGCAACCAGCGATACAATTAGTGGTATCTGGTAACGAGGAATACACCGTTCATTAGGCATCATCATTAGCGTGTTTGCTGAATGGAGCTGGCAAATGGCACGCCACAACTGTCAACTGGGGGCAGAAAAACAAAGCACAAAGGACTCCCCCTGCCCCCCTGCCACTCCCCCAGAACCCACAGCAGAGGCTGACAGACATAGCCTGAAGTGCAGCACCAAGATTATTGGCTACAAACACAGTAGAACCAGCCAATATATCACCAACCTTGCGCTGGCACTGAGCCAGCCGGCACCATTTGGCAGTGTATGGCTCTGCAGTTTTTATGCTCAGAATATTGGTGGTTCAAATCCCATAGGCAGAAAAATATTTATATTACTACTTGCACCTTGAGCAAGGCCTTAAAAACTCAAAAATTGCTCAAGTGAATTCAGAGAAATTGCCGACCTTGAGGTCTCACCCCAAGCATTGGTCTCTCCTGTGTCTCTCAGAGAAGAGAAAGACAGGATACGTGGAGACTGAACTTCGTAATACTAGCATTTTGTTGTTAAATAATAAAAAAGGAGATTTTTTGGTTTTTTTTTTTGCAAACACACATAGGCAAGTACAAAATAGCATATAAATAATAGTTTTGGGGTTTGCCCTGCTGTCACAACCCCAGGAAACTATAACCCAAGCAAAGCATTATGGGTCCAGGCCTTGGATGAATCAAATGCGTGTCGCATTATGCTTTCTCACCACAGCACATATAATCATGCTTCGGTAACATCACTACTGTTCGTCGATCAGGTTGGAAGCCGTGACCCCAAACCCACCTCCCATCTCCCTTAATCTGAAAAGAACTTCAGAAAGACTCTAGTACAAGCAGGTGTGAGTGGGTAACTCTACCATGAGACGCGGGGAAGTGCCAGAAAATCGATATGGATTACAGCAGAATGGAATCATGCAGAAGTTCAGAAATTCAGAAAGTTTATTGTGTGTGTGGATATTTTCATTTTCTTAAATGGATGCCAATCCCATAACAGATGTGGCTACATGTCACCTTATCAGGGCTTCTCCCCCCCCCGTTTGATCGTTAGCATATTTCTGTCATCATTCTGGCTCCTGGCAATTTCATAAGCATGTCATCCTTTTCTTGACACGAGGGCATGAGCAAGATAAATACTGCGGTTAATAATTGCGCTATTTCATTAGGAAGCTTCATTACTGAAACACTCATTCAGAGTTTGCATACAAGTGATGCAATTTAATCACTGGGCCTTCAAGTGGCATTTGCAAATCCTCCTTCCTACTCCCCCCCCCCTTTTCAGTTTTAAGCTCCTGTTTTCCCATCTTCCATTTCTGTTTTACAAGGTCAAATGCAAATAAGCTTTACTTCCGGCCAGGTAAAGACAGCTGTGAATCAGATGGGGGGGGGGGGGGTCCAAATACTGGGTGCTTTTGGGATTTTTTTGGGGGGGCTGCTAAAAGCCAAAATTCAGCTGGATTTCTTCTCCAGCCCCCCCCCCAAAGGTGATCCACCACTGATATCAGTTTTCATAAAAAGAATTCTTTGTCTGTTCTCTCCTTGTTGGCATGAGCAAACTCTGGCAAATGCTAAAATTAACCGGCGGAATAGACAGGATAAAAGTGTCGGCGCCCATGCAGCAGTTTGAGGCGCGTACCTTGCGAGGCTGGAAGTCGTACTTCACGCAGTGCTGGAAGCCCTTGCCCTTCGACTTCAGCGACGTCACAATCAAACAGTTCCCGACGAAATGCGCAGAGTAACCGATGCCCTTGCTGGTCCGAAAGCTGTTCAAAGAACGGGGGGGGGGGGAAACATTTGCATTAGCTGTCACAGATTAAACGTGCAGAGACATCATAAAGGCTATATTTGTCACCAAACACAAAAAAAAAGAGACAACTGTAAAAAAAAAAAAAAAAAAAAACTAATTTGGTTAAATATGGATTTCAGTCCCCAATAAAAAAATATATACTAAAAATACACTCATTGATGTTCAGATTCAACTTAACTATTCATTGCCCTCTGTATACATAGCAATTAGCACAAATAAATATCAAATATGGTTACACATTAACATTCAGGAATTAATCTGTGGGGATATCCGTCCATCCATTCATCCATCCGTCCATCCATCCATCCATCCATCCATCCGTCCATCCATCCATCCTCTATACCCACTGGTCCAATGCAAGGCTGTGGGGGTCCAGGTCTCGGAAGATACAGACTAAAGGCAAGGGATAACCCAGGACGGTGCGCCAACCCATCACAGGGAACACACATACACACAGACACACACACACACAATTCACCTCTGCACTGTTTTATAGAACACATATCGCTGCTTTTGACTAGTCAGTCAAGTGACAGACTGATTGTCACTCTATGGCATCCGTCTCAAAATTGTCAGCTGTAGACAGATAGAATTAAAACCCGCAACAAGCCTGAGGTACGGAGTTCTTAGCTCAGCCACTAGAGCTCGCCACCAGTCAGACGTTACAGATGTTCAGCGTGTCAAAACACCTGCCGCCACAGGCCATCGCTGGACATGCGTCTGGTCTTCCGGTTTCCCAAGAGGCACTGCACTGAGTCTCATTCTGACCCGGTTCCCATGTTCCCCCACCACTGGCTGAGACACTGCCCTGGTTGGTGTGACCAGCTAGACACCAGACTGCTACCTTCATAATGCCTTTATAATGCACTCATAGAACATTCAAAAGCAGCATCTACAGTAAGTATACCTTAACATCCTAACATACTTTAACAGCATTAATATACATTAATAGCAAACACTATATGATAAGAAACATTATAATTGTTTAATCATATAATGTTTGTTATAAATGTATAATAAAGCTGTTAATGTATATTAGGATGTTATGGTATACTTATATGCTTCTTATGAATGTTTTATGAATGCATTATGAAAGTGCACTGAATGTTCTATGAATGCATTAGTAAGGCAATATGAAGGTGCAGTCAAACATTACCCACCAGATTTTGGGAATCAGAGTTTGGCCTTAAAACCATACCAATGACTTAACCGGTGACCCCACTGCCATAACCTTTGACCCTGCTCATCCAATCAGCAACAGTGTCAACATGCCATCCCTTCAATGTCACCTTTCCTCACACTCACTCTTTCTCCGGACGTGTATGTGATGGCATCGATATCCATTTACCCACTCGGTGGTTGTACCGGTGCCCCCCCGCGCACCCACCCAGTCACTAAAATTACACAGTGTTTTATTTCACTCTCACCACCTACATCAAAATGCCTTCTTTGGTGTATTTAACCACTTTATATGTTGTAATAGTTGCAGTTTAACAGGTCAAATGCCATTTTAGCAGGTTAATGGCTAACAACGGTGGGAGTGAGCCAGGCAACCTAGATGATCTTTAACACATCCCACGTTCGTCGGCCAGCACATTTGCAGCTGACCCACATAATGAGAAGACAACTGGACAGAGAGGATGAGACCCCCCCCCCTTCTTTTCATCGTCTGTTCTTGTCAGTTAACAAAATCTTCGGCCACCACAGATAGGCCCACAGTACGATTGTGGTTTTAAAGCTTAACGATAAATTAAAACGAAAGACTGGGACCATGAGCACACTCTATTTCAACACCTGGTAAATCAATACTTGGGTGTGGGATCAATGGCTTTAAAGGCATTAACAAAAAATGTGTTAATGTAAACTGGTACTGAACTTCATGGGATGATCAGAAATACTGATCTGTAAATGGCCAGAAGGGTAACTTTATCTAATGCATTACGCATAAGATGTCTGATGACAGGTCATTAAAGTGGTCAGACAAGTAAATGGCAAGGAGCAGAATTAAATCGATTCTATAATATTAAATGACTCAGTTAATAACCTCCATTTTGGCAGAAAAATTATGTCTTTGTCACTCTACAGCTATTCTTTATAATTTCTTTTTTGATTGTTAACTAAAACATAAGGAGGAATAACTAGATACAGTATTCAGAAAGTAAACCCCTCTCTGTGTTTCATAACGGTTTTGCGATTTGAAAGGCCGTAATGAAATCTAAAGGTCACCGCTAACGGCTCGGTGCAGCCCAGCTCAGCGGTGCGTTTCCGGAGCCCGCCTCCATTTGCTGCGTCTTCCAATAAATCGTTATGATATTTGACCATAATTAACACCTAAATTATGCTACCTGTACATCCCATCCCAGATTCATAACCCCAGAAGCCGCTACCCTCATGTCTCGTGTTCACACAAAATGAGTACTGCATCTGAAACATAGCTGCAGAGTTGGGCATTTCAGATCCAGAAGCTACAAATCCAGACCAAGATTTTATTTCTACCAATCAGCTCACTACTCTGTGACTATGGCACTTTACGCTCAGTTGGTTGGTAGAAATAAAATCCTTGTCTGGATTTGTAGCTTCTGGACCGTAAATGCCCAACACTGTTCAGATACAGGATCTTTTCTGCTTTAACCAACTAGGCACAGGTTAAGATGACATTCTGGTTGGATTTTCCACTCCTTAGGCTTACACCTCATGTTGGCAGATTGCCTAGACCCACCAAAAGGTCTCCAGATCCCTTCACCAGTAGCCATGACATCCGTGGAGGCAAACTTACCAGTACAAGTACGGTTTATCCTTGTCCACATTGATATTGTTGAGAGGGTCCATTCGGAACCAAGTGTTGAGAGTGAAACCATTCTGGTAAGGCCACTTTGCAATGGGAGGTAATGCAATGGCCTGCGGAGACAGGTAAAAGGGGTGATAAATCAGAAAACATCCTAGCCAATCAAGTCATCTAAAAGGGACATAAGACGTTTCAACCAATCAAGTCATCTAATAGGGACACATAAGACAACATCTCAGCCAACAGAGTCATCTAGACTGGCCCAAGATTGATCCCGGGCAGATGAATACATGTGACCAAGCAGGTTCAAATCGAATTACGTTAAGCTACTCAGAAGCTAACAGCCTTGTGAGCCAGACTTGTTAAACTCTATTAATCCATGAAGCCTCATGCAGAATTACAGCTGACATAAATCAGTGAAGTACTGTATTTATCATTCCAACAAATTAATGCCAGAGTTCAGGGAGTATTCTCAAAATCAGAACTAAAGATCCTAACTCAACCTTTAAAGAGGCAAACCTACTAGGAAGTCTGAGGTTCTAGAATGAAGTTCATAAAAAGTAAGATATTCCAAATTTCTGATTATTTTCTTTCCATAATCAGCATAAACTACAGAACATCTGTTTCATTCCCTGCTGCAAGTGGGCAGACAGGGAATGACAGGTGGGACTTACTGCCGCACTGCGTCCTGGGAAGTTAAAGAAGGTGTCGGGCCCGTGCCTCTGGGGCATCTGATTCAGCACTGATAGCAGCTTGATGGCGTGTCTTGGCTGCAGAGGAGGAGGAGGAAAACATGCAGGGAAAAGATGGAGTTACTCATAAGAAAACAGGAGGTAAAAGGGGATAAAAAAAACCAGGATAACACCTTCACGGCTCCTCCTGCTACAGATCAATGTTGTGTCAAATCAGATCCAATCAGATCTACGCCTCCTTTGCCCACTCCCACCACTGTCAGTCAATAATCAGGCCACAGCAAATGGATGGGTCCCTCGAGGGACTTTCTCTGAGCTGGTTAATGCTGCTCCATCGAGGGACCAAACCGTTAAATTGCGCATCAGCCTGCACGCCCCGGCTCCCTGTCCAGGCTCACCCATACTCCGTTCTCCCCACGCAGCATGCTGAAGAGGAGTTTCAACTCCTTCACTGTGATGCTGTAGCTGGCCAGCACACCCAGCATGTCCACCAGCAGATCTGCGCCACAGGGAAGGAGAAACAAACTGTCAGACACGAAATAGGGATGAACCCCAATGAAGAGACACAAGGAACCCTAGACCAACAGCAGATTAACTGTTACTATGTCCATATGAGGCAGGATATGTGGAGACAGGTGAGCTTTCGGAAATATACCAAATATTCAGACATAAGTCTGATCTGTTCTATGGAAAGAAGCCCCCAGTCATCCGTGTGCCTGAATACATATCTACATGCACAGCCTTATCCAATGTTTACATATTATGGATGTTATCAAACTGTTCGGTATGCCCTCTTCTGTTGTATAAAGTCATTTAAATTCTATTCCTAGAAGATAAGACAACCCTAGTTTGTTAGATGTATTTTTTTTTGGGAAAGAAGACTCTCATATTCCTGCCAGTACGTATAGGAAATGACAGGCATATCGTAATGCCGTGGTTCACATGTATGTATTGAACCGTGGGGGGCGAACCGAACGGTTCAATAATATACCGTATACTGGTACACGGTTAAGTGAACATAACCTAAATATACGGTTATTTGGAAAAATAAAGAGTTCGTTGTTTAAGTAAAGGGTGACGTGTTTTTTCTCTTTAAATATAAGGATACAGAAACCTTAGGTTGCCATGGCCCCAAAACCACGATAGATACCGAACTGTGGCCAAACAGTATCGTTACACCGCTATTACATATACATTTCTTCTGTTAGTATTAATACTTCTTATTTTGTGCTCGACATTTGTCGGTGTTGTTCAACTGATTTTTGTTTATATAATACCCTGTCTTGCTTTGGCACTAACTGAAAGGCTCTCACTGCCAATAAAGCAGCAGAGTTTGAGAGAGAAGGGAGAAAAAGAGATAGAAAGTATTGGTACTGTAACAGAGAGAATAAGGATGAGAGAGCAAGTGACAGGGAGCGTGACTAACAGAGAGGAGGAGAGCAAGAGTGACAGGGGAGAGAGGGAATGAAAGAGAAAGATGTGGCTTGATATCCTTTCAAAGCAGAGAGCTTTTATTATTGTGAGCATATCCATCTTTCTATTGCTGTTCATCGATGCTGTTTACTGTCAGGCCATGAAATCGTTCGGGGAATGTGATAGAAAGCAAGCCAGGCAAGACCAAGAACCACCTGACCCCGATGGCACGAGCGAGTAACTGAGGAATGTCCTGCACCAACCATCACACGGCTTCCCAGCAGCCCAGCAGAACCTGAGATTTCTGTGTATGAACCTTTTCCCAGGCCTGTTCACGCATCCAGGGGAAAAAAATCATATTATCCTGTCCTTTCAACCCAGGCAAACAACATTCGCCACAGCATTCTCGCAGTGAGCAAACTGGGAATGTCCCCTTTATGTCTACATAAAACCAGTATGGAAACAAACAGTTTCACCAATCCTTTTCTTTTGTCTGGGGGGGGGCAGTGATCCCACAAAACATCTCAAGAGATGTAGAGCCACAAAAATCCACAGAGGTGTTTAGAGAAGAGCTGGTGTCAGTCTGAGAAGGTCCAAACAAGACCAAACAGGGAATGGTGACCCGTGACATAGCGCCAAGCACTGACAATAATAACTTAACCAAATTTCTAATATTGCTTTTAAAATATATTTCAAGGTTCTGTTATGAAAATAACCCTGACTAATGAGATTTTTTTTTCAATTTGTTTTCCTCTCAACACTCGAACTCTTCTTCGCTTTTGCCCCTGTACCATCGCTTGGGTAAATGAAATTGTGTTAATCCACTGTGAAAGACTGGAGCGTGGAATCATAGGAATTTTGCTAAATGGTTCAGGTGAGTGTGTCAGGCTTTGAGCACCCACCCAACCATGCACATTGGCATCCAGCACAGAAAACAAAGAACCTGAGACAACCTCTCAGCATAAAAAACACTAGTGCACAGCAGTACTTCTGCAAGCAAGCAAGGTCAAGCTATTGCTATGTTTGTCAGGTCAGGCTGGAAACACATTAAATGTCAGTGAGAGCACTGGCATTATCAACCATGTTTGCATAGATAGGCTGGAAGCACACTTAATGCCTGCGAGACCACTGGCAACATCAGACGTGTCTAAGGTCAGGTTGGAAGCAAGTTTAATGCTTGTGAGATCATTGGAAACATCATACATGTTTGGGAGTATGTTTAATGTCCATGAAAGCATTAGAATCATCAGCCATTTTGTAACATTTGATGTCTGGTCAGTCACTGGAACCGGCAAAGATTACAGTGCCATATCTATGGATGTTTTACTAAATCTGGAGGGTATTCCACAAAGTAGGATTCCTTTATCAGTTGTCTTGGACCCACCTCCTCTACAATCCAATTAGTTATTTCTCTGAACCAATATTTTTTCCTCCTGCTCTCAGAACATTTTTGTGCAAGTAAACAGTAAGGTCCATAGACCGTGGACATACCTGCGATCATATCATCAACGGCACCCATCCTGGTGAGCACCTGCTGGATGAGGCCCACCTCGGTGCTGGTCTGCAGGTTACGCACGCTCTTGCGCAAGATGGCTGTGAACATGCTCCACATTTCGGCCTGGCAGGGCAAGTCGCAGTGCTCCAGCAGCTCCACCATGCAGCCGATGCTCTCCGCATCCTGGATGATGAAGTTGGTCTCCAGGTCAAACTCACCGCCCACGAGCTGCATGACACCAAAAAGGAAAACAAGCAAGAGCTCAGGAAATGAGTCTCAATTCCAACAGAGTATGGCTCAGCCTGTTATAACCCAGGAAACACTACCAAGACTGGGGGGTGCTGTGTGGCTCAGCAGGTCAAGCCTCTATGCCTGTGATCAGGTCACCAGCTCAAACCGTGGTCTCAGTAGAACAGTCACATCTCCACTGGGCCCTTAAAGTAAGGCCCCTAACCCCCTGAAATGCTCCGGGGCCATTGAATAAATGGCCCAACCCTATGCTCAGACAAATACATAAAAGCTCTGAACTGTTTTTATGTATCTGTGTGTGCATATCTCAAAGAAGAATGTGATGTGACATGTGGAAAAGGATTCCAATGTTCTTGTGCGAATTGGCAAGTAAAGCATCGTGTCATTTCACCAAATGACCTCAGATAAACCCTTATTTCAAGTGTCTCCAAAATTTGGACCAGCCAAGCACTAGCTAAAGATATTATCACTATTAACTCATTATAGTTACTGCCCATTTACCAAAATAATTATTGCTACTTAAATGGTTTGCTTGTTAGACTGTCAGAACAGACGCGCTTCCTTGACAGCACCAGGCTTGACAGCATTTACCGTGTGTATTTCCTGTCAGCTTCTGAGCTGAACTGAACAGACAAAAGGAAAATGGGAGACAAAGAACTTCAGGAGAAGAGAAGAGGTGACAGGTGCAAAAAAAAACATCTAGACTGGTAGAGAGAAGAAAGGATAAGAGGGGCAATAAACCATAAAATCATACAAGAGAGATACCTTCTCTGTATTTCTATACACATATGTGTGGACTTGTTAGTGTCCTGCACAGAAAAAAGCCCTCCATTCAGCCTCTGGCTTCTTTTACGCGAGTAAACAAACAAGCCCCCACACTACTGTAGAATTATACACATTATAACTTCTGCTTGGTGGTGCTTTTTTGGAGCTTCAGAATACGCCTTTCTTAAGTGAGGTACTCTTGGTGTGAGATGGGCCGCGCACTCTCCCATTACGTGCTGTACCGGCGGGCGAGCACCAGGGCAGCAACTCCTCACGTGGTGGCACTGCTTGGTAGCAAAAGCACCCAGGAGATGAAAAAGCCATGCAAGGCACCATGGCTGAAGCAGACGCAAAATAAGGTCCCAGTAATGACAGCATTGGAGGAATTTGTGCAACTAACATTAACTTGGATCTTGGTGTCTACATATAGAATTGTGTGTCAGACCCATTTTCTTGTGCTTGTGGCAGAGTCTGGAGCAGTATTGATGATTTGTATAGATGTTATAAATCTCTAGGGTATTGTACTACTTTTAGTTTTGGTGGAGGTTTCAGGGGTTATTTTACCTCAAAAAGCATTCATCTTTCTCTGTGTTATGCCCTCACAGACACAATAATCATCCAGATTAATGCAGTCAGTCGTCATCACCTGTCACTGACGACAACCTTGCGAAACCCCACCCACACTGGCCCATGGGAGTGATGGGTAACATAGCTATTTATTCCTAGACTGAGGCGCCGGGTAACATGAGACTCGTCAGCCTGAAGCTCACAACATGTCCTACATGACAGACTACTTTGAAGAGGCACAACGTTCCTGTTGGCATGCGATCAACTGAGACAGACGATCACTGTAAAATGAAGAAATGATGAAAGCTAGATGGGATCACATGACCCAGCCTGGTGGATTACAACCAGTCAAGATCACATCACTGATCTTGAGATTTAATGACTTGGTAATATTTTTCTGAACTTCTGGTATGCATCTAAATCCTTAGATCTCCTTGTTTGTGGTGTTTTTGTTGAGAAGAATGGTTTGTAACCGTTTTTAAAGTCCTTTTCTGTGTTCATGAACCCGGACATGGAAGACAACGGGGAAAGCTATCCACCATCTTCTCAGTATCCAATACCTTGTTTGAACCTCTCTTTTCCTTAATAAGTAATCACCTCCATCAATTATCTAATATTCTAATAACAGCAGTACTAGTTTTAGTTTTGTTACTATTATGGTGCTTGTACAGCCAATACTTTATGTAAAAGTTAAGTCCTTTAGCTTTACAGTGTATAAGAAAAGTAAATGGGGGAAAAAGCAAATGCTCCAGGGCAGTGGTTGTCCAGTCTCTCCAGAGACCTGTAGTCTTCCATATGCTGATTATATCCCATCAGCAGCACACCTGCAGGCTATAAAGCTTTTGCTACGGTTTATCCAATGAGCGGTTTCATCTACATAGTGCTCAAACCCCACAAAGTCCCAAACGTACGTGAGCAGAAAACTGATTAGCATCAGAAAAAACCAGAACAAAGTGGATCCGTTAAGCACACTTAAAAAGAACACAGTCACCCCGTAGCACATGGCCAGACCCGTTACTGTCTTAAATTTCATACATTATCCAATTTGTAGCTCATTACGTATTTTAAGTGTTTCCGCGGAAAAAAATAATTGTGTTGCGGTGGAGGACCACATCGTTATTTGTGTTTCATATTAGTTCCGAAACTATAAATGGCTTGTTAAACATAAATTAGATGTTAAAACGCAACTTTCCATCCGAAGCTTGCGTTCAGGAAAAAGAACAATATGCTTGTGCCTTTTATCTTCCAAGCGCAAAAATCATTACGCGAAATTAGGGCAGAGCTGGGAATAACCAAAAAGCTCCATTCTTTGGTTTTAACTGCCTTACACCGAGAATCCCAACGACGGCCGATGCTGTACCGACGACGTGTGTAAAACCGTTCCCACTTTTCCCCCTACTATATTACGCCGCATTTTTCTGCAAGGATTAGCTGTTACTTTTTATGGACGTTTACACGCCTACGAAAACAAATACACGATGTAACGAGGTAACAGATGCCTTGTATACATGTCGCGTAGCCAGGGGACCATTTTCAGCACCTGTTCCCGCCGAAGCTCTTACCTATTTTATAAATGACGCTGCACGAGACGTACGAAATTCAAGCAGCAGGATCGCCCGACAAGGCATCATGCGCCAGAAACGGCGCCTTCATATTTAGGCTACAGTAAAACTGTCCAATTTAACACCGTTCCAGCGAAATATTAACTTTTTTTGTTAAAGCCTCAGAAACGGCAGATTCATATTTAGGCTGCGCTAAAACTGTCCAATTCAACACCATTCCAGCGAAATGTTAACTTGTTGTTAAAGCGTTAAATTATTTTTTTTCCCCGGCTAGTTTTCATTTGGAGATAGTGTCCAAACACACGTCACTATATGGATTGTATACACCGCACAGGATTTGAACATCCTTATCTATAGAGAAAAGACACCTGCTCGGCCTCCTTCCGACCATTATGTCACGTTAATATCACGTGACCCCGCCATTGTCTTATCAGGATTTTACCTTCCCGACAGGTGGTCTCTCTGGAAGGTACACCTGACAAATATTGTGGCTGGCATCATGCCCATCCCCCACGGAACGGAAACCAATCCAAAGTGTACGGCTGCTATTTTTAAAAACCTTTTCATTATTGATGCATTTTGCATTTGCACAAAAGTATTTTCATTTACATGATTTCAGTATGTTCATCCTTATGCAACAGACTATGAAGTAAGCCCAGCGCCATACACACTGAAGCCACCTGTGGTACTTCGCTTCAGATGGTGAACTCTGCAGAAAACACCTGTCCACACCAGTCCACTCATCGCACTTAGGCGATCCTCTCAGAGGGCTGTCAAAATGTCTTTGGCGAATAGCAAAACATCTGAATCATCAAGCATATCCACGTCAATGCAGGAAGATTGGAACCGTTTCTGCTGGCCTAGGACTGATTTGCTTTGTAATGCTCACTGCCAACTACATTAAGGGCCTATTTATACTAGAATGAAAAGGAAAAGCATAGAGTTTTTCAATTCGAACCATCCTATTTAAATTTCTGTTTCACTTCCATATTTCTGCAGAACATCTTTTTGTTATACAAGATGACTTGTTTGCAAGGGGGAAAAAAGTCATTAGGAAACCAAAGTGATACTGGGCCTGTTTATCTTTCCAGGAGAAGCAGCAAAATCAACATATCCACAGCTTTGAGGCTGGAAGGGAATTGATGTTGGGTTGGGGGGGGGGGGTGCAGTGAAAGACTCCACCCACACCTTTGTACTGGCACAAAATGGGCAAGCAAAGTATTCAACAAGATCAGCCCTGTCAATTAGAGCTCTGCTGCTTTAAAAGGTGTGACGACCCCGTCCCATTTGCGGGTGTGTTTGTGTGTGCCGCTCGTTGATGGTGTATAGTACACCTCAGCCAGTGTGCCAGTGAAGCCATCTAAGCCAGTTCGGGATGGCAGTGAGGAGGCCCGCCATCTAAGCCATTTCGGGATGGCAGTGAGGAGAACCGCCATCTAAGCCATTTCGGAATGGCAGTGAGGAGGCCCGCCATCTAAGCCAGTTCGGAATGGCAGTGAGAAGGCCCGCCATCTAAGCCAGTTCGGAATGGCAGTGAGAAGGCCCGCCATCTAAGCCAGTTCGGAATGGCAGTGAGAAGGCCCGCCATCTAAGCCAGTTCGGAATGGCAGTGAGAAGGCCCGCCATCTAAGCCAGTTCGGAATGGCAGTGAGAAGGCCCGCAGGAGAAATGGCAGGCAGGAGTGATGGGTCTTGCTTTTTTGGCCCATGAAGCTTTATTTAGCCATTTTGTTTTTTGGTTCCCCTATGTAGCTTATTTTGTCCACTTTAAATAAATTACGTAATAATTGTAGTGCGTCCCTATGAGAATGCCTCTGTGTTGTCCCAGTCTGGAGCCAGACTGTGACCAAGGTCACTCTCCTTTAACAACACACAGGGGCCTCTCCTGACCACAGTTATCGCACACCATTAAGCCACCATTATCCCAGATGTCTGGGAACGCGACCCTCATCACAAGACATGCGGTCTATATCTTTCTATAGTTTAGGTCCCACTGACTCAGTTTGGTACTTAATAATTTAAAGTCAACATGAACCAAGACGGGCATGTACACATTTTACCCCACCAATAATAAGGCCATGATTAA